CGAAGGAGGGCGGCGTTGTTGGGCCAGGTAGCGCAGCCCCAAGTTGCAGAGTTTCTGACCAAGGTGGTCAGCATTTTCATGCGGTTCTCAAGTGGGGTTCTCGCGCAGAGCAGTCGGCGGTGCGCATGGAAGGCGCGCCGGCCCCGGGCTTGCAGGTCCGCCGTGAGCGCGGTAACTCCACTCTTCTCAAAGGTCAGGGGCGACCCCAGCGCGTTCATGATGTCTGTCGCCCCGCCTGCTTTTACTTTTTGACCACCGATGCAAAGCTCGGTGTCGTCCGGCTCGCTGCAGAGGATTTGTGTTTTGACGACGTTGACCACATTGCCCTTTTTGCCCAACTTCTCCTCGAGGTAGTTGATGGCTCGCTGCATTGCTTTGGCGTTCTCTGACCACAGGTATGTGTCATCCATGTATCCCGCCCCTTGGGAGGGGCATTGTGGAAGGTCTGCTCGCCCCGCCTCGCCCAGTGGCACGTTGTCGTGGAGGTCTTGGAGGGTCTCACCTATCGATGCCGAGTAGAGCACTGCACTGTCCGGACTCTCTTGTCTCACTCCGTTCGTCTGGGTCACGGAGACGAGGGACTTGCCGATGTAGATGTCGATGGCCTTCGCTTCGAGGATTTCTAGCCACATGCGGCTCTCCCAGACCAATCCGCCCCGTTTGGCAACGGAGTCTCGGACCATGACAGCGAGAGCATCTTGGGCGATGCTGTCGAAGGCCTTGCGGACGTCCACTTTTACCAGCCAAAGCTTGACGCCCCAGTCCTTTGCCATGCGCATCAGGCGGCGTAAGGCCAGGATGAGTTCTTGTGCTTGCCGCCCCGTAGAGCAGTACTGGTAGTAGCATTGGAGGTCCAGGTAGGGTTGGCATCTGTGTAGCAGGAGCTGAGCCATCCAACGAAGTAGGGTGTTGCTCAGCGTGATCGGTCTCGTCGCCGCCCAGGTGCTGGGGACGTGCTCCTTAGGGAGCAGTATCGTCGCCCCGCGCCCTACTGCTTCAGGGATGTTGGCCTTGTAGAAGCAGTCGTTGATCAGGGACAAGACGTACCAGGCCCACTTCGGCGAAGGAGCACGGAGCATGGCCTTGAAGCTTTCGTATGCGACGCCATCGATCCCCGTGCTTTTCCGCGGCTTCCACCTTTCTGCTGTGGTCGTGAGCTCGTCAAGGGTGAAGGGGTGCCAGCGATGTCGCTTGCAGTGTCTGGTGAGCTCGCCCCGAATGTGTCGGATTTTCTCCTCAGGCCCCGGCTTCTGTGCATTGAAGATGGAGGCAAAGTGCTTGAGCGCTGCTTGTTCCCAGTCGGGGTCGTCGAGCAATTTTTCCTCCCACCCGGTTGCCGGGTGCAGCTGCTTCAGCTTCTTGAATGCGTGCCAGTCTAGTTGGCTGGCTTCCGCAGCGAGTTTGGACTCATAGCCGCGCTTCTCGGTGCGGCGTTGTTTGTGGACCGCTTTCCAGGCCGCTCTGCGCTCCGGCCCCGGAGTCGCTCGGTGCGCGCCCCTTCTTGCTGCCTTGAGCTCCCCGCTCTCCCGGAAGCCTTGTCGCGCTCTGTAGGTCGGGTTCTGGAGGCTAAGCGCTTTGGTGACGACGATGTGGTACGGGTCGCCTTGCTGAGGGTCCTGGTCCAGTGCCTTGGCCACGTCCTCAGGGTGGAGCAGCTGTTTGGCGCCCCATGTTGGCGCCTGGTCACTCTGCTTGTGTCTTTTGTCCGGCATGTAGACGCTCATCGCGATCGGCTCGTGGTCGCTGAGGGCCATGTCCCTGGCCTGAAGGACTTTGCCAGGCTGTGCATGGGCCCCCCGGAGCAGGATGTAGTCGATTCTCCTCGGCCTGTGCTCGGTGTTGTATGGGAAGTGGCTGGGATTGCTCAGGGCTTGGTCAGGAAGGTAGAGGTTCTCTTCCACCATCCATTGTAGTACGGTGTTGCCTTGGCCAGTGGCTGCTACCAGTCGCCCCGATGCCATGGCGAGGGTCTCGTTAGCGTCCATGCCAAGGATAAGAAGCTGGTGCTTGAAGGTGGCTGTCTCGCCCCACTCATGGATCATGTTGTCGACCTGCTGCACTGTGGCGTGGTGCGGTATGTGTCCGCTTAGTAGCCCAACTTTACCTCGGTCCAGCACGAGGGAGGTAGCAACGCCCCCGGGCACGCAACAGGAGCGCTCATGTGCCCCGAGGTCACTTTGATAGGCTATGCCCTCTCCTCGCCACTCATTGGCTTGGCGCCCGTATATGATGTGCCATTGTTTGGTGACGTGGTACTGAATTCCAGGCTCTGGTGTGACAATCTCTTGGAGAAGCAACACCGAGGTCATGCATAGTTCAGGGTGGTCACGAAGGTCATCGAGTAGACTGGAACATCTTGTAATGTCGAGCCCCCCGACGTTCCACGTGGCCACTGTGAGTTGGCTTCCTTCTTGGCTGCCAAGGTGAAACTCAGGGTCCTGGTCTCAGCGGAGGGTCGCCCCGAGGGGCTGCAATCTGGACTGCAGCTCCGCCTCCGATGACCCAAGGAGTCGTGCTGCCTGTGCCATGTGGATCCACGCCCCCATGGTGCCTGCTTTCTCCGCCCCGGGTGGGGCTGTGGTGACCGCGCTGCATAGCCGAACATTCTTGTACCATACCGTGCCGCTGGACCACTCTGTCTCGACTTCCCCTTTGTTCGCCCCGCATTCGAGCAGCAGGCGCTTTGTTTTTGAGGCCACCATAGCTCGGCGCCTCTTCTCTGGGCTTTGTGACAGGTGCAGCCAAAGTCGCTGTGTGGTACCATCGCTCCGCTTGCCTAGCTCGATGTTGGCTTCCAACACTCGTTGTGTCGCTCCGCGTAGCCGATCTCGCAGGGCCTGCTCGGACTCGTTCTCTCTCGGCTCGTAGGGGATGATGACGAAGCCCCGGCGAATGCCGGGGCAGAAGGCTGTGTCCACATCGAGGTCCACGCGGAGGTCGGCGATCATCTGTTTGGCAGCTGCCAACGTGACTTCACTGTGCTGGTCTTCGCTCCAGCCACCCATCACCATGGCCGGTTTGCGCTTGTCGGTCTCCTCCGGGGCAGTGGAGCCCCAGCTGGACCCTGCCCCGCTACTGGCCCTCATCTCCAATGCCCCGAGTCGCGAAGCCAGGGAGCTGTGTTCTTGCCGTAGTGCTTTGATTGCCCCGCCGTGCTCGTCTTGAGTAGCCGTGAGGTTCTGGAGCATGCGGACGGTGTCCATGAGTTGCGAGGTCACCGTCTTCTCCACCAACTCCACTCGCTGCCCCACTGCCTGTGTGATCTCATTCTTGAGCTCGGCGTTGTTCTGTCGCAGCAGTTCTCTCATCGCCTCGATGGTGGCTGTGCCAGGGTTGGGGTGATCTTCCCCACTGCGATTACGTTTCGGTGGGGAGCCGATGGGTTCTGGGCCCGCCCCTGCGTCAGTGAAGGGGTCATCCCCGAGGAGGTTTTGGGTCAGGCTTGGAATCTCCGGCGTCTTCGGCATGGCAGAGTTTGCTAGGTCGCCGGGCATCATGTAGTACTTCAGTCACGACAGTGTGGTAGTCCCTCTCCCAGCGTGGGGCTCCCGGCGGGTCGGCTGGGCAACGGAGTGCTCCGCCCAGCAATGTCGGTGCAGTGAATCGGTACGGTCAGCACCGGGTCCTGTAGGGCCGCCGATGCCGTAGGCGCTGAGGTTTGTCAATCGCCCCGAGTTGGAGCGCACGGCCACCGTACAGGAGTGAGGTCACCGTACTCGCCGGTGGCAGCGCGGAAGGTGTACAGGCGTAGGGCTGCACTCTGGTACTCGAGGTCGCGAGTATGCACGCTGCCCCTGCCCTCACACTCTCACGCCCGGGTTGAGGTCCTCTCTCACACTCTGGCTCGGACCTTGGACCACTCGCGGCTTGAGCCAAAATGGCTACGCTCTCTCTCTCTTTCTTTCGCCAGGGCTATGGTGTAGGGGATTGTCCCCCTACACACTCTCTCTCTCTCTCTCTCTCGTTCGGGCATAGGGGTCGGTCAGGACCCCCGGGCATCTTGCCCACCCGATATGATTTATCGGGTTTGTTTGGGGGGTGAAAGTCAAATGTAGACCCCGGTGCAAGCTAAAGCCATATAGCATAAGATGACGGACTACCAGGGTCGTACATTTTCAGTCCACACATGCACAACTGCAGGCTCCCCCATTGGATGAAAGAAGGACTCCATCATAGTACTGCCCTAGCAAAAAATTATATGGGATCACCACAGTTGGTTTAGTCCCCCGCTTAATGCATCAAGCGAAAGCGAATTTCTCGAAATCGCGGGTTCATTTGGATCAGCATCTACAGCCCCACCAAAGTAATGGTAATATGATCAATTCCCCCTCGCGACTTCGCAGCAAGAAAAGGAGTCTAGGGTGCATCATATTTTGGATCACAGTCTTGTTGAGGACTAAGAGCCTATCTCCAGGTGTCACATTAGGGGGAGAGGGAATGGCTTTATGACTGTTTTCGAAAGTTGCAGTCCAGGGATGTTTGGGGTCATCGGCTTCGTGAAAGCAACAACGCACAGTCGCAAGGCAGGTAGATACATCACATGATTGCCGACGAATTCCCCTGTCCCCCGTTATGCTACTTTTGCATTGACATAGGACTGCTGGAGTTTTCAAAAGTTACAGTTCAGGGATTTTGGGGTCATCGGCTTCGCGAGAGCAACAACACACAGTGGTAAAGGAGGTAAAAGCATCACATGATTGCCGATAATCCCCCTGTCCCCCCGTGTGCACTACTGGTAGGCTTGGCGTGGGGACTTTGCTATATGTATACATGTTATCGAAAGTCGAGGCGAGGGGTGTGTTGGGTCTTCATCGGCTTCTTCAGAACAACCGGATTATCTGACAAATTACAATATGAAGCACACTCTCTCTCTCTCTCTCTCTCTCTCTCTCTCACTCAATCACTCGTTTCACCAACAACACTCACACCCTCACCCGCCCACTCGCTCACTCCTCGTGCACGTTCGCATTAGCAGTTCTTGCCCAATAGTGCCAGGCTGCACACAAAACGGCTCGGCGTCACGATGTCCGTGTCCCGGAAACTCGTGCGTCGCTACTTCCACCTCTGGTGGTGCCTGTGACCGTCTGGAGAATGGTACCATACATGAGAACAGAATGACCGACTGCACTACTCGCAAGACTTGTGAACTCAACTTCCATCCCAGGGGACAGAAAACCCACACGGCCAGAGCCTCCTCCTCCAAATTGCACCAGTCCTGGACGCAGCTGTTTCAGGCTGTGGCCTGTGCCGCTCTCTTGAGCGGCCGAATGGGGCTCGCGAGGAAAGTTGCTCACGACAAGCGATGGCACGGTAACACCCCGTCCACGCTGTAAGCATCGGCGGCGCCGTGGATGCAAAGGAGGCGCAACACAGGCGACCTGCATCGTTTCAGCTTGGCATCACATCCTGCGACTTTAGCCCTACCATCACTGATTGCTGGCACGCCAGCTCCGACACTCATTGGGCCTTTCGCTGACCGCGTTTCCATTGTAAGGGGCCAGTGTCTTCTTCACGCGATCAGGCAAGCGAGAGAAATCTGGGAGCTGGTGTGTCCTCGATGGAGTCAACATGAGTCAACCACCCAAGACTAAAAGGCAGGACAGGACTGTTCACGAATGCAGCCCTTCCATTGCAGCCTTTTCAGCGATGCAAGTAACTCACATTGTGTAGATACCCTCTTTCTTTCTACTCTCTCTCGCTCTCTCTGCCGTTGCATCCAGAGGGTCTAGCAGCGCCAGACAACGCATGAGGTTAATGTAGATACCCTCACCGTATACTATCTAGAATCTGGATGTGCACTTCGCAGTCCTTCGCATCTTTGGCAGGACTGTCCCCTTAACGGGCTGCCGATTCTCGACAAAGTTACCGGCAACTGCCTGGCAAAATCGGGCCATTAAAGGTACTTGCTCGTCAATGGAGGTTACCAAGAATGACACATCTCAGAAGGCTTGTTGCTGCTCCCTGGAATCACCCAAGCGCGAGCATCACCTCGCCCTCTTGCACTCTCTTGCTGATCTCCTCGTCCAGGTCATCGAAATCCATTGCAGTGGTCGTCGGACACCAACTTACATCATGGTTGCTTTTGTTGCCCATGGCTTTGCACACTAAACACTGGATAACAGATGTGTCTGACAAGTGGACCTTGTGAAGTTGCTGCTCCCTTAAAGGGGAATCAACGTTTCAAGCTGAGGCGCTGCGTCAGACGCATTCAAGATCATGGGTGGGCAGTTGACAGCCTAAGAGGCCCTTAACGCTTGCAACAGAAAGGCCCCCAACGCCTGTGTATGCTGTACTTGCACTGCCTTTCGAGTGATCGGCTCAGCGCCTTTCTGTTCTGAGCTGCTTCAGAAGTCCTTGCATCCGGACTTCACGGCAAGTTCAGCGGATCAACCGTGGTGGTGACAGGCCTGTCGGCAACCATCAAAGCGGCTTCGTCGTAGGCGCGCGCCAGCCAGCGGCGGGCATTCAGCTTCTTCTGCGCTCGGTGAATGATCTTGTGCTCCTTGCCCTGTCGCAAGTAGTTGGCCAGGCGGTTGCTCATCAACCTCTTGGACTTCTTCAGCCTGTTCAAGGTCTTGCGACCTGGAGCACGAGGGCGGTCCCGTAGCGGATATACGTAGTCACCCAGCCGGCCGATCAATGCATCCAAGCGGTACACGTGGCGAATCTTCAGCTGCTCACGGATCTTCATGTAAGCATCCAGGTTCTTGCGCGCTAGCTTGTCGAGGTACTTGCGGCGGCGGGCCACCAGGCTCACCAGCTTCACACGACAGGCGAAGTCAGGCTTGAACTCCCTGGCATGCAGCACTATGTTGCGGATCCGCTCTGTCAGGATGGCAATCTGAACTTCAAGGCAGCCAATATTCTTGCCATCGGGACCATCTCTCGTCCAAGTCTTTCGTGCGTTCATCTTGGCCAAGTAGAGGATGTACTGTTTCGAGGGGTAGAGGTCGTAACGGATCAGCCGCTCGAGTGACTCGTCCTGACTTGCTTCGAACTCCTTCATGTAGTCCTCGAGATCGGCTTCCTCGATGTCCTTGTCAAGGTACTGAGACATTTCGTCAGCTTGTGAGCTCGGAGAACTCTGCTTGGGCATCGCGCCCTCTTTTTCCATCTCCTTTTCCTCGTCCTGATCTTCCTTCATTGCACCAAGCATGCCACCCAGGATACCCCCACCAGCCTCCGCTTGCCTGACGATGTAGCTCTTTTGCGCTGGTCGCACTGCACGGCGTGCGAAAGCTGCAGAGGCCAAGGCGCACACGAGGACGCCGCATGTTGTGGCTGCTGGCAGCCCAGAGCCACTCTCCACGCGCTGGACCGTCTGTGTTTTCAAAGCCGATGTTGTAGCGAGGGACTCCCACCTCGCCGAGTGGATGCCACCGACGCTGAAGCTGAGGCTCGCTGGCACGAGGAAGATACACGCCCCGAGGACCACTGCTGGGGCTGTTGCGCGGGAAGGCCGCATCGCTCGGAAGAATCTTGAACGTGTATCGTAGCGAGTGGCAGCTTGTCCTGCAGATTCCACAAATATGAAGAAAACTGTCTGGCACGGCTCTGTCACTGCAGCCACCCCCGACATAATCACCGCAATGATCAATGCCCTGAAACAGCAGGCGAACAGCCAAGTTGAACCCATTCCTTGAAGGCGTCACAACCCGGCCGAAAACCTCAGAGCGCTGAGAGAACATTGAACTTCAGTAGTGTCGGAGACTGGCTTGGAAGGGTCTCGAGCTTTGTCATCGTTTGCGTCGAGTCTCAAAACATGTTCATGCTGCAAGGTGCTTACTCGCCTATTCATCTGCAACACACAATGCCTGCAGCCACACCAGGCAAGCAGGCGATGTCCTGAAATACGTCTTGTCTGAGGCTGCCGCTACGAGACTCGGAGAATCCGCAAGGGCCAGAGTTTGCTGTTGGACTGCTACAGCTCTGCTAAAAACCCTGCAGCTTTGGAAAGACTTGTGCACCCGTGCATGTGCTGCGTGCATCACGTGGTCTGCTGTGGTCCGTCAGGCCATTTCCAATCACTGAATCACTGGATGCTTGAAGAAATGCCGGGAGTTGTCGAAGCCAGGACAGTAGCATGCTTCGAGCCTCTCAAGACCTTGTTCCTCCTGCACAACATGAACAAGCAGCTTTTTTCTCGCGGGCCACCATGCGCCTCTACTCGGCCCACTCAGAAGTGCTTGCCTCTGGCGACATCCGGATTTCAGGGCAAGTTCAGCGGATCAACCGTGGTGGTGACAGGCCTGTCGGCAACCATCAAAGCGGCTTCGTCGTAGGCGCGCGCCAGCCAGCGGCGGGCATTCAGCTTCTTCTGCGCTCGGTGAATGATCTTGTGCTCCTTGCCCTGTCGCAAGTAGTTGGCCAGGCGGTTGCTCATCAACCTCTTGGACTTCTTCAGCCTGTTCAAGGTCTTGCGACCTGGAGCACGAGGGCGGTCCCGTAGCGGATATACGTAGTCACCCAGCCGGCCGATCAATGCATCCAAGCGGTACACGTGGCGAATCTTCAGCTGCTCACGGATCTTCATGTAAGCATCCAGGTTCTTGCGCGCTAGCTTGTCGAGGTACTTGCGGCGGCGGGCCACCAGGCTCACCAGCTTCACACGACAGGCGAAGTCAGGCTTGAACTCCCTGGCATGCAGCACTATGTTGCGGATCCGCTCTGTCAGGATGGCAATCTGAACTTCAAGGCAGCCAATATTCTTGCCATCGGGACCATCTCTCGTCCAAGTCTTTCGTGCGTTCATCTTGGCCAAGTAGAGGATGTACTGTTTCGAGGGGTAGAGGTCGTAACGGATCAGCCGCTCGAGTGACTCGTCCTGACTTGCTTCGAACTCCTTCATGTAGTCCTCGAGATCGGTTTCCTCGATGTCCTTGTCAAGGTACTGAGACATTTCGTCAGCTTGTGAGCTCGGAGAACTCTGCTTGGGCATCGCGCCCTCTTTTTCCATCTCCTTTTCCTCGTCCTGATCTTCCTTCATTGCACCAAGCATGCCACCCAGGATACCCCCACCAGCCTCCGCTTGCCTGACGATGTAGCTCTTTTGCGCTGGTCGCACTGCACGGCGTGCGAAAGCTGCAGAGGCCAAGGCGCACACGAGGACGCCGCATGTTGTGGCTGCTGGCAGCCCAGAGCCACTCTCCACGCGCTGGACCGTCTGTGTTTTCAAAGCCGATGTTGTAGCGAGGGACTCCCACCTCGCCGAGTGGATGCCACCGACGCTGAAGCTGAGGCTCGCTGGCACGAGGAAGACACACGCCCCGAGGACCACTGCTGGGGCTGTTGCGCGGGAAGGCCGCATCTTGCAATTCTGCAAGAAGACGCCGAGACGCCTCACTTTCAGTCCAGTCGGGCCTGCTCGAAAGGTGGCCCGTCTGCGTTTGAACCGTCAGCACAGCAACAACACCGGAGTTGCACGCACTCTACACTTGCATGTCCCATATCATGACGCTGCCGTGATCTCCTGCCTTAGACATGCGAACTTCAGCCACCAACTTTGTTGTTTGCACCTCCGCTGCATGCACAATATGCACCGCATTTAAAATTCCTGGCTGCTTCGCAGTCCATGGTCGTTGTTCTTTTTAAGTGTGGCCGACTGTTAGCCGGAAGGACTATGCATGAGCTCGCCTCAAGCCTCAATGACGTCACGCTTCTCATGAGCACTTGCTTTGTCTCGTCCTGCTTTGTGGTGCTGACACGGACGTGCCAGTCAAGCATCAAGTGTTGATGCAGGACATGCCGGGTCTGGGGTACGAGATGCCGCCCCATGGCTTTGAGACTATAACCGCGAATTCGAAGACTCTGCTAACTAGGGAGCAACATGGGGCAGGGCCCTTACAGGGCCGTGGTCTTTGTGGCATCTGCATACTGGCACGAGCTACTTCAGAATCCGAAAAGAGCCTCTCGGCACCGGCTTCGCTGCATTCGCAGTTCAAGCTGGATGTCATGCTGCAGCACTCTTTGCATGAGCTGCCTAGAGTGGGACGGCTTCAGCATCGAAATAACGTGCAAAGGACATATGACATATGCCTTGCACTGTTTTGCATGCAGGGTCAATTCTAATGATCATCCTCGACTATTTTTGCCTCCTGCATAGCTGGATAACGAAGCAGGATCCTCGACTCTAGTTTGGCTGCTTGCAAAGGTGCGCTTCCTGTTGGTCCGAGCATCGAGCTTTACGTCAACGCTCAAAGCAAAAATGCGGTGGGCAAACTCCAAAAGGCGCAAGCGCCAAAGCTGTGGAAAGACCAAGGCAAACTACTCGCTTACATCAACCCTTACAATTTCATCCTAAATCCTAAGCCCGGAAAGCCCTGCGGGGCACTGAACCTTAAACCGCATCTGCGCTGGAAGACTGCCATGATTTAGACATGAATACTGCTGCAGATCACAGCCATTACTTCATGATCTGTCGTGTCCGGCATCCGAGTTCCTCTTGGAGGTCCTCGGAAGCCGCGAGTGAGCTGCCGTTCTCCACATGCCCATAACCACTGGGAACATCACCAAGTTCACACGTCTGCGACAACATACATACGAGACTACTCGAGTAAGTCACTTAGCAGCAGGCGCTAGTTTGCTGCATGTCGTTTCTGCATATCTCGGCTGTTTTGGTGACAAGCCCAGGGAAGCGCTTCATGGCCCAGTATGCCTCGCCTGAAGTAAGAACCAACTGTAACAGTGGCATCCGCTTGCGATTGCACATCTCTTGCCAGCCTCTGCCGGGAGCATGCTGATGGCTGTCTTCTGCAGCTTGTGCTATTTCGAGGACCCGGTGATGTAATGCTGTACAAGGCAGCGCAATTCGCAAGCAAAGCCATATTCCGACAATCCAAACACTGCAGTGGTGTCGAAAGACACCCACAAACGGCGTCCACACATGCAGAAGGCGCGGAAAAACAAATGCTTTCAATGTCTACCCTGGCTGTGGCACAGATGCATCAAAGCCAGCTACAGTACATTTGCCCTGATGCGCCGCCTCGACAAAGTACTTCTGCAGCGTGATAGAATCTTATGACTTCGGAAAACACTGCTGGTGTCGATCGTGCAATTCTGCCGGCATGACTCATCTTCGCAACTTTGCACATCTTTCCTGGCACGGTTTGTGCATATACTTCACGGGACGAAGAACTGAAAAGACGAGTCTCCGCTGGCGAATGTCTGCCAGCTCGAATGCCGCTGCATGCACAGATGCACAGCAAGATTCTGCAGCCCCTTGCAATCTGCATGCACAAATTCCTGCGAATTTCGAATTCCGGCCAGTCAGGAGCGCGCTGGCCACGCGTCTGCCGATGACAGCCACCTACCACCAGGAAATGAGGTGCCAACTGCTGAACAACAAAATTAAGACTCTCCCTCTTCCGCCTTCGTCATCAAACCACAATCCCGGTTGGCACGAGTTGAGCACAATCAGCTCGCGTGAGAGAAAGCGCGCAGCCTGTGCACGGAGTAGAAGTCGCTGTCAGTTTGCAAGGCCACCAACTCCAGCACTAGTTGCGATGGTCCTAACTTGGAAGCAGAAGCTTGCATCTTTTGACCATGCAAGCCTGTGTGAAGTGCAAGCTCAGAAGCTTCTGACACCATGGTGGTGGTGGCACGAGAAATCCTCGGCAGTTGCCCTAACATCAGAAGGTTCGCAAACCGGCCAGGAACTTCTTCAGACTTGTCACACCTCTCGAATCTGTTGGTTGGTCATGGTGTACCCAAATCCTTGACATCTCGATGAAGTGGTTGGGTGTGACAACCAGATGCATGCCATGGCTCACGCTGTGGACGTGGCATATTGGCCTAGGACACCGATTTGGCAATCGGTCGCACAAGCTCATTTTGCTCCTTTGCAGCGGCAAGTCTTCTGCCATGAACTGGAGTCCCCTATGCAGCTTCGTGCTGTCGAAGGGGCGGCTGTGATACGACGACTTTCGGAAGATTGTCTTCGTTGAACTCCACCTCGGTATGCATCTCCAATTTCTGGATCCTCACTGCACGGGTTTGTCAAAATGGTTTTACGATGTAAGTGCAGCGTGGATAGCTCGCCCCCTGCGGAAAGATTGCTGAGGCCAGGAGCCTCTTCTTCCGAGAATTGGTCCGAAGGGTGGTGCTCCTATGGCAGGCACAGGGAGCTCACAGAACGGAGTTCGAATGTTGATGAAAGCCTGACTGCCCCTCCCGGAGCTCCTCTGCATTGGGAAGTGCATCCGTACTTCTTGCGGGGATGCATGGCCTCACGAACAATTCTTCGACTCATCCACTGCAGGTGGCCCCGAATGAAACGAGCAACAACAGGAATGAAAATCCTGAACCTACTGCATGACCACACACAAGAAATGACAAACTTACATCTGACGAAAGTATCGGCTTCTGCGACTGCGAAGTTTCCAGCTTGTGTAGTGCAGCAGCTGCAGTAGGAGCGTATTCTCACAATTGTAATTACAAGAAAAGACTCTAGGTCTGGGCCTAGGGCCTCGGGCCTGCAGAGCGAAGCGAGGTTTGCCCTTGTGACATAAGCGGCGGAAAGCTCCCACGCTGTGCAAGGGTACAAAATCAAAGCCAAGCTGCAGTTTGTGGGCTTGCTCGGCCGCCAACTGCTCCGCTACGTTGATGAGGTGGTTTACTCCCTGCCTGCTGCGCGAACAGATTCATGGCCGAAACCTGCACCTGCCCTGCATACTGCAGTTAAGCATCGAAGCAGTGCAGGCCAAACCTTTGGGGCGCCGTGCAGGACTCAAACTTGGAAATTGTAGCAGTGAGAAAAAGGCGCCGGCGCCACCGAGGCTAGGCCTAGGCATGTCATTGTGCCAAGCCGCGAGGAAAGCGCGTCACCCAGCCTGGCAGATTTCTACCAACCAGGTGCATGCACACCACCTCTGCAAAACCTCAGCGGGCTTTCGTGCCATGCAACTGCAACACATGAAAGCCCGGTGCTGTACTGAGCTATTCCACATGTTGCTCCACGGTGCAGCCGTGCAGCTGCAGCAGTTGCGCTCAAGCATGTCGTAGTCACATCCATGCCATTGGCTTCTCATTGCCAAATCCATGAAGCGAACGACCTGTGACAGAAGGCAAGAAGCCAACAGGAATGCTGCTGCGCTTGGGCGAGTCAAAGGAATTCGAGAAAGCATGTCTTTCCAGCTTGTAGCAGTGTGGCGTATGCCCAATGCACGCGAAATCCAGTAGCTCAGGAGGCGCAGTAGCCTATCAAAGATGATCTCAGACCCAGTAGCCACGGCCTCTGCTTCGGCCTGGCTTGTCCGGCCCATGGCGATGGACATGCGGTAGACATGTACGTCCTGCAAACTGTTCCCAGAAGCAGATGGGGCTCTGCAGATGCTGCCATGGAATAAGAAGTAGCTGTGCCCTTCCAAGCCTCATGCATGTGCTACAAACCTAGGAATGAGAATATGGAAAAGACAAGCGTCTTCTGATGTCGCGACTGAACTGCAAGCAAGTGGCATGAGTGCGAGGCTCCTGCCAATATAATGCATTAGATGCATCATGACAGCCGCTGCACTGGCACCTGCCAGTAAACGGGAGAGGCTCTGATAGACTCTCCCTGCCTGGCAGTCGATTCCATCCTGACCAAACGACCACTCCTCCGGAACGGAGATTCAGGAATGTTTCTGCCCACGCAAACGAGTGCGGTGTTGGCATGTGTCGGCTAATCGTCCTTCCCGTGGACTTCCACTCCGGCATGAAAGGCGCCTGCGCGACACGAATCCATCAGGACGACAGAGCAGCAGGCCATAGCTGTCATCACAAGAACAAAATCAGCAGATGTTCTGCGGTTAAGCTTCCACGTGCGTCCTGCTACATATACCTCTTCGCGACTCGTGAGGTGTCGCAGAAAAGCACCACGAACTCCAGTAGAAATGCCGGTGCCTCCAATGTTGAGAATGTCCGCCGAGATCTGGTTGGACTGCAGCCACTCATCGTTCAGGTCATAGATCTCGCGTACTCACGGATTACGACAAACTCATGGGACTGCGAGGAGAAACATTCTACCAACGAGATAGTGCATCATGGTAGCTTCGTGCAGCTGAGAAGCGTTGAGATAAACCTGGGCTCAGAGAATTACGAAAACGACATGCGATCATTAGCGATCAGCGCCATTCCTTTCATGCTTTCTAGCCGAGTCTGTCGAGTGACCATAGGTGGTCCAAATCTGTCGGGTACAATAGATGAAAGGAAAGGGTGGACTCACAGAAACATGTACCTGAAGGCTCACACACACACACTCAAACATAAGGTAAGCAAACATGCCTACAGCGAGCACAAGTGCAGTTGCGTATGTATGTCTGTGTGTATATACAAAGACACATATCGTCGCTGTCGTCGTCAGGGCTTGAGGGACGGGTCAGGTCCCTGGCCACGAGGGCTCCCATGACGTTTTGGGGCGCTGCAGGGGTGTGAACTGTTGTTGATTACCTCTCTCCCTCTGTCTCTCACACGGACTCGAGTCGTTGTCAAGTACCTATCTCTGCATATCTCTCCGTGTGTTCGCCGGTGTGTTCGCGCGCGCGCGGGTGTGTGTGTGTGTGTGTATATGTATATATATATATATATATGTCTCTCGCTGGTTGTCTGTCTTTGTCTCTGTGTGCATATTAAATATGTTCATGTACGTGCGGATAAAGTGTAAAGGCAAGTAAGACACACTTACATCAGATGTGTTTATTCACGATCATGTTGCATGTTTACAGGGCCGAGAGCGACAGAGACAGAGAAAGATTGCACTATATACTTTGCTGACACTCCTGCGCACACTCTTTCGTACCTGTTGCCACCGGCGTGGTCGTAGCAACATGTGAATGAGGAGCGGAAGGAGAAGCAGGGGCAGCATTTGCGCTCTTTGCCCAAGTGGCAGTAAGAGAATACTTAGGTGCTGTTTCTTTATAAGCTTCATAGTGCAGCGAAAGCGCAGTGGCCTCACCCAGGATGTCGCCATCAACATCGTGCTCCTCGTCTTGTTCGTGGCACCGGCACTGTGCTGTGTTTCCTGGGGTCGGTAGAGGCGGAACTGGAGATGCAAACATTGGCAAACCGCAGAAACACCTTATCCCCTAAATCTAAGCCTAACATTTGCAGCAGAAGTCCTTTATTTCCTAACTCGCCTCTCGCCTGTAGCATATTCCTATTGAAAAGTACAAGCGCAGAAGCAGGTGATGCATGGTGATGCCAAGACATGCCAAGACTCCCATGGCAGTAGCTGCTGCAAGCGGCTGCGCCGGTTCTCGCAGCTTGCGGCACAAGGGAAGCACGGAAAGGAAAATAGTAAGTCGGGTTCGCTAGGCATGTATATTATACAGACGTCACACGTGTCTGCAGTGTGAAGAAGCTGATGGTCTGGGGCCGAGAGTGCTATCGCCATGCATTGATTGCAAGATGCTGCAAGCGGCTTACTGGTAAACCATCCGTCAGGTTGCACCAACTACCTAAAAATGCGTAGCATTGCACAAATTTTATCGGCCAGTGACAGCAGGCGAGTCAGTCGGATTTCAGGCTTGCAGCAACTCGCAGCGGCTCAGTGAGAGTCAATTGCAAGTTACTGGAAGTTGCAGTTGAAGGCAAGGCGCCCCGAACTCAATGACCTTGCAGCTCCATGGCCAGTTGTCCGATTGTCGCGATGCACCTCGCCATTCCCGGAACCATTCAGCAGCCCTTGCCATCGTGTCCAGGACTGCAAATTTTACGCAAGCTGGTCGATGCCGATCTCTTGCCAACTCTTTCCGAAATCCATGCTTTGCAAGATCACGAGCAGTACGAGGACGAAGGCCGTCTACCACCGCCAGCCTCACTCATCCAGGAGGACGCGGGATACAAAATTGACGAGCTTCCCGAGTTCAGCAGCCACCCGCGCCACTGGGAAAGGGCGGCACAGCGCTGCTCGGCTTCGATCCTACGAATCCCCCCGAACAGCGAAATGATGTTCAAAATGTGCGTGCAGACGTGTCTTAATGCGAGGTCTGCATGGCTCCTGCGGCTCGGCAGGTAGGGTGGCATTGCCGCCGAATATCATTTGGCACTGTCCGGTCTTTGCTGAGTGCACACAGCAAGACGAGGTCTCGACAGCTTCACTGTTGCATTTTGCCTGGCAGATCCGGAAAGATGAAGTTGGCTTCCAAACCTTCTTCTTCATATCTCCAGTGACTGCGCACTTCGAGTTTATGCGAGCTGGCAGGCAAACGTTGCGAAGAGGGTCCTGAGCATCGGGCACAACTCGATTCAATCATTCCCACGAAAATGGACGGATAAAGGGGGAAAGGCATAAGAGTCTGAAAACCACTTCTGTGATATGGCAATGTGCAAGCCCACTACGTTTTTTTGGTTGCAGTAGTGATGTTTATGTTGAGCCACATCACTCAGAACCCATTTCCGGAACGAGTTCCCAATCTGTGCTCTCACGGCATTCCTCTTCTTTTGCTCTTCGTCAGGCTGCGCTTCCCAACCCATTTACGTTTACATGTGCACCCACTCGACTGTAAGGCTTAGCCACGCCGCCCGAGCCAGAGCATTCTCCGATCTAAGCTGAAACGGCTAAAGAGGCTCTCTTCCCCCGAGATCGCGAGCCCGGACTTCCACCAAGGAGCGGAGGCTAGCGCCCATTGTACCAAAGCGAAGACCAGCTGCGACGCTGCCTCGGGCACGGCACTCTCGTTGAAGGCCCCTGGCCTAGGTTCAGCATCGGTGCAGCCTGGGTTCAACATCTGTGAGGACTTACAATCTTACGCTCTCTTGTGCCAGATCACTCCCGGAAGGTCTGCAGCGAAGCCTGGAAGCTGCCAGCATCCTTGGTAACTTCGTGCGACCCGACTGCCAGCTTTGCCGAGTCTGGTCCTCACAGCTTCCCCAAAGTTCGCCCAGCAGCTTTCTGCAATGCCAATAGCAGACGTCGATAATTTCGAAGCACCCTGACTTCAACAGAAAGCACACAGCACATCCTCAGCCCTTCGTGCAGCTTTGGTGACCAAAGGTCGGGCGGGATTGGTACTGGCACGAGGTCACACTACACTCGACACCGCGACATGTTGTGACCCACTAGTGGGTGTCTGACATTTCTGACAATTGACTAATTAGCCGCTTGTTGCTCGGAATTCCGATAAGGTGCGGGTTTCGGCTTTCTCACCCATTGATTGAGACTGCGCGAAGAGATTATCCTGCATGGCAGGTCTCTCGTTGTCTTTGCAGGGAGTAAGAAAGCAGGCTGGCCTCAGCGCGCGATGGGGCATTTCTCTTGTCGTTGATTGTCTTTGTCTGCATAACTGCTACGTCGACAGCAGGACTGCAAAGGCCTCAGCACGATCAATCCACGCGCACCGGCACTCGCCATCCGACGGATGAGCCGTGGCGACCGTTTTCGCTGCACATCGCGAGCCTGAGAAAAACCAACACCAGGTTGCCTCCCATTTCGACACTCCATGTCCGAGGGGAAATCTCAGAAGCGCGCAAGCTCTGCGGTATGCTCGCTACCAAAGCGACGAAGGCGGACGTGCATGGGCGAGCCAGGCTGTGCCTGGCCAAAGTCTGGCAGATTCTGAACCAAGCTGACTGAGAGCTGTGGCCGTAGGCCTGTATGGCATGAAGAACATCAGCAACGGAACGCACCGGCTCGTCTGCTCTGCCAACAGCTACGATCTCATCCAACCTCAGGCCATCCGTACACACCGACATTTACCATCGTTTACCACTGTGATGCCACTGATACAACCATCCAGTGAACCTGCTTGAAAAAGTACGAGGGACCACCGAAGGCCAGCATCCCGCGCTTCGCGGGAGGGCAAGCCCCAAAGCCTGCTGGGAGAGATGACGGGCTGCAAGTTCTTGTGCTGACATGTATGACACAAAATTCCAAGCAATGCGCCTGACTCCGTCTGCTTTGACGCCCAGATAGGCATTATTTCTCCAGCTGGGAGCCGTGAGTCGCGCTGGCCCCATACGGCCTTCGATGCCTCTCCGGCTCGTATCAGCCATTGCAAGACAAGCATTGATGAATGCAACCCCTGCACCATGCCTCGCTTCCCTCGCACAACACCCCTCAGACAGCATGTTTCAGCTGTTTCAGCTGTGGAATTCTCCACGGCTTTAGATTCGGAGAGACCGTAACAGACGGAAAGACCCGCAACGAGTCTCCCAGAAGAGCAGAAGAGCTCAACCGGCCGAACAACTCCCCCTCTCCCCCTCTCCGTCGTTGTTTTTCGTCAGGTTCATTAATCATGTGCACTTGTGCTCACCTGCATGAGGGAGGCTGCAACTGCCCCGAGAGATCAGCTGCGGTACCACCTTGCCAGGATGCAAAGCAAGGCTGGGATGCAAAGAGAAACCGATGAATGAGACGGTCGCTGCCGCCATGCCGCCTGTCGTACAACAGATGTGCTGATGGCTGCAATCACCACAGGCTGTGACCCGGAAAATTGCCAGGTTATCACGCCAGTGACGTCCTTACTGTGCTCGGCGGCAGCTCACGGCGACTGCACTTTCGGAGGCTAAGGCTTCGTCATGAGCGATGCGCAGGACCTGCAAGGTTTCATTGCAAGCTATAGCCTGCATGTTGCTTCGGATTTCTGCTGCGCCAATCTCTGACGGCCATATTAAGCATCATATAAAATGACAGGCCCGGCAGCAGTCTGTTCCGTGTCTGACAATGCGAAGCGTTGACATCCGCACTGTAACTTAGGTACATAGGCCTACACACGGTTGCGGGCAGGGTGGCTCCATGGGAATCCAGCAGCGGGCCACCGCTGCTGCCATGACCAGCTGCGACCGAGGCAAACACAACGCCATCGACTGAGCACCGCTCCTGGAAGTCCTGGAGTGCCTCAGCTCTACGTGAAGGGTAATGCTGGCCATGGGATGCCATGGGCCTGGAGGCCGAAGTGAAGCAAGCGCAATGGCGCAGCTCCCGTTTTCGCCTCTGCTCCTCTCTCCCGCATCTCCTGCTCTCTCAACTCCACAGCATCCTTGACAAAGAGGATGAAGTCCTTCTGACAACCACTGAAATCGGGCTTGAGCCACGTGATTAAGTTGACAGGTCGTCCTCGAGTCGATGAGCCAGATCTTCAGCTCTTCCCGATGGCACAGGCAGTGACGCCGATGCTGTCATCTCCGTCAGGCTCCTTTCTTGTGGCATTCTCTCGTTGTTCTGTCCATGTCTGTGCAGTGCTGTCCACTCGATCTTTGGGCATACCTTCTTGCCGCAGGAACATGAGCAGTCGTTCAATAATGTGCCTGTTTCTGTCGCGTGCCGGGTACCAACAACTCAACCTCACGTTCGAGCTAAGTCCTCAGCGGAAAGTGCTCGTAGGCACGTCTATCTGCTTCGGTCTTCCGTCCGATCCGTGCAGTTGCATTTGCTGGTATAGTCTCTTCAGGGCGGCTACATGCTGCACATGTATGACGAACACATAGCCGTCGAAAGAACGTCCCACTTCCGTCCCACGTTTGCAGTGACATCTGAACCCTGGGCTGCTTGGCCTCGTCAAAAGATCGCCTCCTGGCTCATCGGCCTGCTGCAAGCAAGCCTCCCTTACCCCAAGCGACCCAAGTCCCAGGCAAGATAACTGGAGAGCTGGCCTCTGCTAACAATCGTGCAGCATCGCGAAGTACAACGTCCAACTCCTCCCTTCTGCAAGACACCTGACACTTCGATTCAAGTTGTCGAGTAAGTTCACTAAAACTTCTACAAACTCCACAGACCCTCGAAATTGCAGCTGCTGCCTTATCATGAGGAACATGCGGCATCATGCGCTGCGCATCGGCCATATGCCTCTGTCCACTCCGCTGCTGTCATCGCAGCCGTCACAGGCGACAGGAAGTTCCCAGATCCTGCACAGAGCTTCCCAAAGCCGGGCGACAGTTCCACTTGGGGCTAGTGTACGTTCCGGATGTTCAAAGTGAAGACCCCAGGACCGGTAGGATGCATGCTCTCTGCCCTTCGCGCATTGCTGCCATGCCAACTATCGAAACTGGGAACACGTAGATGAGGCTGCAGGCTCGAAGTCACTTCTCAACTGCTGACCACCAGAAAGGTGGATGCAACAGACAGTTACGTATAAAGATGTGGTCATGGCCGAGGTGAAGCACGAAGTTGGTGGCCAGCGGCCGGGTCCCAGCTAAGAGACCACAGCCGTACCTGGTGATATGACAGAATGAACTGCCGTAAATCGAAGGACGTAAATCTTAGCACTCGCACTCGAGACGCTCAGGCGAGGATTCGGGGACGTGATACGAAAGTATGTGGCAACGAACTCTTCCACACGATCACATGGGCGCCTGGTCCTGGCAAATTGCAACCTACACCAGAACCTACCGTCAGGATTACCCAAGGGTGGTCGTTCCAGCCTCTGGAGGAAACATCTGCTCTTTGAGCCAGCGTTTATACACAACTCTTGCGACACTTTCACTGCGGCACAGAAGCAAAACGGCTCATGGAAAACCGTCAATTGAAAACCACATGTTTCGGTACCTATCGCAACTCGGACAATCCAGACGAGTATGCGGAATACGATAGTGAAACCCTGATATGTTCTTTGGGCCTTAAGGAACATGTCAAGGCTGAACCAGATGCACACACAGAAGGCTCGACAAGTTCGGCACAACAAAGCTATGCTTGCATCAACCACGAAACTTACATGCGAGCCTCAACGCATGGGAGCAGCGACTTCCCGCTGAGGATCTGTTATAACAAAGTAACCCAAGCAGCCACAGGGGGACTCCAACAGCGCGGCCACTCTACGGCACATTCTCAGGGATCTCGAGGAACTCTGTGTTCTTTGGTTGTTTTCTTCTGCATTTTCCAATGCTGTTCATCCTGAGCTGTGCTGTATGCGTAGGATACACTTCTTACTTTCCTGCTGAACCACTCAAGAAAGAAGACGCTTTGACTCTGAGCGCCTGTCCGGGATTGAACGATACCCGGTCGTAGATGAGTAAACGGGGTGCAGCGATAGTTTCGGGTGTGGTTTCAAGCCACATTCCCACCCGGGTCGATTCGCACGTCTCGCAGATTTGGGTCCGTTACAAGAAGCTCGTTTTCAACTAACAGTAACTGTTACCAACTGTTGGTTTTTGGTAGTGAATCCAGAAACATGGGTGGAACTCCAAACATGCACGAACACCAGTCAAGCCGAAGTACCGAGCTTCAAGGAACCATCAGACGCAAAACATCCGATGCAAACAACTTTTGCTTGACGCACGGACTACGGCTTGGAGAGAAAGACAGCTTCGGATAGTTGTCTCCAGAAAAACGCAGCTGCTTAGACTAGCTGGCTAGCCTGTCTAGAGCGATAATTACAGCTTCCACGGCGGCTTTGGAATGCTTTGGAAAGGAGAACACAGCTTCGAAAAGGTTCTGGGGGAAATGCAGCTGCGAATAAGCTGTCTAGATCTTTCTCGAGACGTACAGCTTCGACTATGGTGTTTTACCCGAAACCTTCATTTGCAAACCGTATACCCTTGCCACCTGTACTCCCCGCCCCAAACCCTCAACCCTACAAACTAAACTGTGTCCAAAAACCAAGGCAAACCGGTGCCCCACAAATGGGTTCTCCTCGCAAACCCTTTCAGAACTACGAAATTGAACCCTTTCGAGAACAGGCTTTCACCGCCGGCGTTTGATGCTCGAAACCCTTGAAGGCCGACTTCATACACTTGGACACACACACACACACGCACGGCGGGGCTCTACAGCTATGGTTTAGTACATCAATGTCCGCACCCTGATCGCACAAACTGGTGGATGTGTTTCGCGTCGTTTCGCCTACAAAGAGCGATTCTGCCCTTCCCTCTGTTCCGAGCTTCTGTGCGTTCTTGGAGCAGACATGCATGAAGTGCAACTGTTAACAGGAGCCTCTTGAGATTGAAGCTCTTAGGTCTGGGGATCGACTGCCGGTCCTGTCGCAGGTTCTTGCTGAAGACCTTCTGGCGGACCGGATGCAAAGAAGGTCAAGTAGGTAAAGGCCATGCGCAGAAGGATGTCCTGAAAATACCTGCAGGACCGAAGCAAGTGACGGCTGGACACTGGGAACATGGTGAATTTTCCGTTGGTCGACTGGCCTCTTGACACGGCCTTGGAGCTCCCCTCCAAACAGAAGCAGCAAGGCATGCCAGGCAAGCAACACCTCCAAGGCGTTGCCTCCCTCGCAGCTCTGGAGCAGGAGCTCTGCTATTTCACGCAGGTGAGGTGCAACCAGCCAAGCTTCCCGTGCGAGGAGCGGCAAGAGTCCAAACTCCAAGAACAGCGCGAAGGCGCGCGAGTTGGGCTTGCAGTGGAGGCTCCCGTAGCGAAGCAAGGAGTCCAAGCTCTTGCTGCGATCCAACTTACAATCAAGGCTGAAAGCTTTAAGCAGGAAAAGCACGCTTGAAGCACAAAAAGGTGCAACGGCGAGGCATGCGACCTCCTCATCCAGGAAGAGGGGAGAGCAAGTCTCCAAAACATGCTGCAAAGGTGGTCGAAAGTTCTGCACTTCGGTCGCCAGGGCACGATCCAACATCAAATGCACGGCATCCCAGGCGATGAGCCGGACCACAGCATCTGAAGTCTGGTCCAGGACTTGGAGAATCAAAGGCAAAGCCAGGCCCAAGCCTTGGACGGAGCGAATGGCGACATTGCTCTTTAAACTTTTACTCTTTTAACTATTATTTTCAGCATCAAAGCCCTCATGTCCCATCCTACAAGCAGGGGTGAAGGCTTTTTCTCATCCATGCGGCGGTCTTTGAGAACCAGGTAGTCGCTTTGCTGCATCAACCAATGGAGAGCACGCACGATTGCAACAGCCAGACTTGGCGGTAGGCTACTGCTCCCGTCCATGTTTGGGTTGAACACAGGAAGTTGTGCCCTTATTGCGGCGAGAGCTTGGGGCAGCAGCTCATGCAAACTTGCATTCGCCACACCTCCAGTTCGAGATTTCTGCTTTGGATTTGCAGGCTCATTTCCGCTTCCGCATTCAGCCAGCCAAGTCTCCAGACAGTGATTCGCAACGTTCCGGCTTTCGGCAGAAGCCCAAGGCACAGCCGCGAGAACTGCAGCATTTGCGGCCTCCTGACGTGACTCGATGAGCAAGCTTGATCTGAGAGCCGGGACAACGAGCCCCCGGCGGTCGCCAGACCCACGAATGGCACTGCCATCGCTAAGATTTGCAGAAGCACGGGCACTTTCAGACACTGGGACACAAGTATATAGAGTTGCACCTGCGAGAGGCAATAACCTTCCCACAAGCTTGCGCGAAGGTTTGGCTGCGTGCAGGTGTTGCCAGCATTCACTGGACCGGCGACCGTCACCCTCACCGAAGACAATGGCTTCGAGCTCGCTCAAGAAGGCCTCGACAGTACCTTCCCGCAAGCTTTCCGTCCGATTCTTCATGAAGTGCCACGCCCACTACACCTGGGGGTCGACATCCGACTCGAGCCACGTGACCGCGTGAGAAACATGCATTGTTTGTCACGCCGTGTTTTGGGTTGCTTTTCACTTTCCCCAGGCAGATTGTCTCGTGCCGAATCTCGGGGGGGGGGGGGGGAGAGGTCGTGACTTGACGGCCCGGCCGGGAAGCGGATTCTGCAGCAGGCAGACTTTTAGATGGGGTTAGTTGCATTCCCCTGGTTCCGACAAGGCAACTTCCGAAACCTGATTTCGGACTTCTCACTGTCACTCCATGGTCAGGCGTTTCGGCCAAGTGGCCCGGAAGCGCTGCACGGCACGGGAGCTGCGACGCCCGATTCCAGTGACATGGCCCACGCCGAGAAGCCTTTCGGGGCGTGGCTTTTGTGATCCGACAAGCAAAAGCCGTCAGAGACTCAGAGCCGGCCGGGCAACCAGGCCCAGTGCTCCGGGTGACCCACTGCTGCGACTTTGGCCCCCAGATCCGGGCCGTGTCGCGCAAGCCTCAACCTGCCGAGAAGTCAAACGACAATAAGTTCCAGTAGCTCCGCGGTTCAGAAGAGGCGGTTCATCCGAGGCTCTGACGGCGGAGGAAGTGGCATCCCCGAGCTCGAGCAGCCTCAGTGAAGCTTTCATGGGAAAGCTCTGTGACAGGAGACAGATCACGCCGAGCCGCTGTCGAGCAAGACCTGGAGCACCGCCAAGTCGCAAGGTTCACATCTCGCCTTCCGACAGATGCAGGGGCTCATTCGAAACTTGAGGCTCTTGCAAGAGGTCTACGACTGTCGCTGACTCTGTGCTGCAGTCACAGAGGAGTCCTGGGTCATCAGCAACCCGAGATTCCCACCGGTTGCTCAAAGGCTCTCGTATATTGCTACCAGTAGCTTCACGATTGCACCAGACTCAGAGACTTAAGAACAAGCTTGCCTTCACCTTAGCTCTGCACTGCAGACCGTCGGCGAAGTGCACGGAGACAAAGGAGGCATGCTGGACAACGTGAAAGTTGGTAACCTGGGCCGGGAGCTTCATAAGTTAGCTTTGCTGCTCCCTTTTTTCGATATGTTTCGATAAGACCAGGCCCTTCAGCTGGCAAGGGGCAATGTGGCCATTGTGGTCCCAAAGGAAGCCCGAGCCATGCGAGCGGGACCAAGGCCGAAAGACGTCAAAGGCGCGAACGCGAACAACTGACTGAACAAGCGCCGTCCTTGGCTGTGTGATGCGGCCTTCCGGAATGGATGAGAAGCAAGGCGCATTTTCGAGCACGACTGAACACTATTGGCCGACTATTGGCCCTTTGACAGCACGGTGGATATGCTAGTGCAAACATATGATACAACCAAGCCATACATCTGGCCAAGTTGAGTCATACTGATTCAGGGCTCGTGGGCTCGACTTGCAGGCGGGTCTCCCCCTTCTGGCTCGGAATGGGTGGAGCCACTCGTGGGTAGCCTGCTCATAGGTGTCCCAGCTGTCGTGTTCGGATCGGGAAATCCGTCCTGCACATCTCTTGCAACGCATGTGACCGTCCAGTGAAAGCGCGCAGCCAAGCCTGGCCTCGGAACCATATGAGCACCTGCATGTGGGCATGTCCAGGACTGTCGGACTGTTTATTCGTGCCACAGTCGGCTTAAGTAAAGCTGCCGATGCAGATAAGTCTATGCGTCGCATGAAAGCATCGTGCAAGGATCCCATCCTTCGCAAATCCACAGCTGAATGAATGGCACACTTGTCCAATCAAGGGACGGTCACACAGATTGCGAGCACCAGCCAGCGTCCCCGGTATTCATGGCACAGCCATGGTTTCATGAGAAAGGCTGTGGCCAGCTGCAATCGTAAACGCTAACCTCCTGCTGGTAGCTGCGGCAAGGTCTGCCACTGAATTTGTCGAACAAGGCATTGCGCATTAGCCAGTAGGCACCATGAATGATGGTCGTGTTCCACAAGAACCGTCTAGGCCACGGGCCAGAGAACTGAGCCGGCTGTGAAACAGCTGCAAGGGCTAAGGAGCTGGTAACTGTCATGTCCCACGTCCGACAGGACTCAGGAGCCGCTGTTGCTTCACTTTTTGCGACTTTGAAACGCGACGCATCCGGCGCATCTGGTTTGGAAGCCTTGCGGCTTCAGACTGCAGCCGGTGGCTTTCTCGACCAAGCACCCTGGCTTTGGAGATTGATTCCAGCCTCAGGCCCGAACCTTCCAGATGCGCCGTGACAACTTGTCGTAGCGTTTCAGCCTAAGGCTCGGTCTGCCGACTTGATTCCGGTCGAGTCAATAAGCTTCGTAGTGCAGGCTACGAGAAATCCGGCCGAAAATTTCAAGGGGGCCTCGACCTGGACCCAGCTGCGAAGTGAACTAGGCAGCTGACAAGTTCGTGTAGGTCATCAAACCTTCCTCCTGCAACGCCGCGCGACTCAAAGGAAAGTGCGATCATCCGTGCCAACTTCTCTGTAAAGCGGCGCGCTGCAAAACTCAACTACCTGCGGCAACTCCAGCCTTCAGTCTTCAACAGATCCGAGCCTGGGACCCGTAAGAGAAGTGCACCACCAACGCCGCGCCAACAGCGCAAGAGTGTCGGTCCTTACATCCGTCACAAGATCAGTTGCCGGCTGCAACCGCGCTTCGAAGTAAACGTCCTACCCTACCAGACCAGCAATGACCAAGCCGCTCTTCTTTCCGAGTGAGGCCCAGTAAACTCCTCCTCATCGTCACCCTTGCCATGCCTCACAAGTCAGAAACCCATCCAAACACACATATGTGAATCTCTGAGCTTGGCCGTTCTGGACTACAGTCGCTCGGTTGCACCTCCTGCCAGCTAGCACAAGAACCACTTGTAAGTTGCATTGGTCTCTGCCGAGTTGCACGTTACTCCAGTTTACTCCATCCAGGTCTTCTGCCCTGAAGGCAAAGAAGTTTGTGCTCCATCTTGCCCCCTGCGTCCAGTACTCCTTGTTGACGCTTGGAGATCTGTGTATGTACCTGCAACACAGGACATAAGCCTGCATGTGCGCACACTGCATGCCGAAGCCGCCGCTATTGACAAAGACATGTGAGAAGACACGAAAGCTAGGGCAAACCAGACAGGAGTAATGGGGCTCTTGTGGCATTGCGCAATCGTCGTGGTGGTTGAATCTGCCAGGGTATAGATAATGGACAGATACAAGTGCCACGGTGCTTAATAGGATTTTGGGAGGTCCATGCAGTCGGAAAAACAACGCAAAACACTGTGAAGATACTTGCAAACAACCTGATTTTACCTGCCGCTGAATCAGTCATTTAGGTGATGGCCAGGGCGCCCCCCCCGCCTCCGCTCCCACCGCAATCAACTATTGTTAGACTAGACGACCAGACATGGTCCCGCATGCTGTTTTGACGCGGTTCTCTGGTCCTTGCTTCTGAAGCTATAAACGACAACTCCCGCAAGCTCCACAAAGCGATATAGCTTTCGTGACATCGGCACAGAAGACGAAAGACGTGGCCCTGCAGGGAACTTGTGTTCTCTGTAGCCCAAGCGGTTGAAGTCGTGCCAGCCGAAATCGAACACGCACCTGGCGAGACATGCCTCTTCATGATCCTGCAGAGGCTCTCGGAAGTGCATCCAAGAGGCAGGGTGTTGTCTGCAGAGCGGTCCAAGAAACCTGAGCCGGGCAAGACTTTCGGCAAACGCAAAATACAGCAATCACAGTTTGGGGAAGCGACTCTCGTGGACCAGAGCAGCACAATCCCAACGCTCCACCACGCAGCGTGAGGCTGGGAAGCCTAGGGTGATTCACACAAACTCGAACGCTGAAGCCAAAACAAAACCGCACATCTTTTGTTCCAATGAACAGCAGCCACAGCAAACTGCTAAGAATCACAATTTCAAGCCGGAATGCGTTCGATCTGGAAGTTCGGAGACATGTTGATATCCTGTCGACAATATCGCTGGGGAAAATCACACTTATGAAGCCCTGGTTCTGCTAATATTGGATAGCAGTCAGATGGTGTACAACCATAAGGTACAAAATACATGTACAAATGTCCACTTAATGTGTAAGTCAATGTGTGACATACGTGTACAAGAAAAGAACATGCTAGCCTGCGCTTGCAAGCACACCTCATGGGTTCCCCGGCCGCTGCAGTGCCCGACATGAACGACATGTTCACCTGATCTGCAGCTTCTTGCTGAATTGTATGAAGCCCTGCCTTCGAGCTTTTCCCTCTTCCGACAGTGGATTTGCGAACCTCGCTTTCCGAGTCCTCCCAAATCCATTAGTTTTCCTTTGACGTCGGCATCCTCCTTTGGCCTCTGCTCGACTTGGCCTTCTTAACTCGTTGCTCCTCGCCCGAGGGGTCAGGCAGGTTATCAGGGCCCCTTCGGCCAAGCTCTATCGAGTTCTTGAATGAGTGCGTGCCAGCTTGAGCTTCAGTCGTTGAGGCGCGAGTTGAGCCGCGTCCGTTGAGCTTACGGATTCCTTGCGCGGGGCTCCGGCTGAGGGCCCCTCTGCTTCCTCCCCGGGTCAAGCGGACTTCATTTGTTTCTGGGTCCACCTTTTTTGCGGTTGGTTCAGGAGGAGCGAATGTCCATGACGGGAGCACAGAGCCCGGAGAACCCGGCGCGTCTACGAAAAACAAAGCCGAAAAAACCGACCAAGGCAACCAGACTGCAGCAGAGACAGCCCCCGGTGCTTGGGTGGCTCGCTCAATTTATGGTTTTGCTTAGGGTTTAGGGGCCAAGGGTTTAGGGTTTACGCTCTCACAACTCGGACTCAGCCAGGCGAGGTAGGGTTTAGGGGTTCAGGGAGTTCAGGGTAGGGCGTTCAGGGTTTAGGGCTAGGTTAAGGTTTTTAGAGCGCTCCTTTCAGGGATCATATCCCCACAGCAGGCCACGAGGAATCCGCAGCTTCAATCGCGCAGCCAGGACACGCAAGCGAGCAGCGACCTCCTACAAAAGTACGTGCTGGCGAGGCAGCAGCCACCGACCTCAAAGAAAAAATCGAGCACCGAGCAGCAGTGCCATGTGCACAGTCACGAAGCTCAATCTAACGAACTCGCAGCCATCTCCTGTAGCAGTCCACCCGCAGAGCTTGCACTGGAACTTGTTGTTGCCCAAGCTTTTTACGACATGCATCGGCTCAGGATGGCCTTCATCGTGCATCCTTCCGGCATGGTTAGGCGCAGCCTCCGGTCTCGCCTCCACCGACTCACATGCGCCTCGAGACCTGTATGTGCTGCCACGCACCCACGCTTTGGCACAGGCCGACGCGGATGGATGCTTGCCAAATCCAGGAAGGCAGACACCGGAAGCAACAAAGGCATCTTGCAATCCGAGGGCGACTGCACATCTGCTGCCGCCAGCCAAGTCAGGACATCGACGCCCCGGGCGAGCCGGCAGGCCTGCCAACGAGCCGAGGCCTAATTTGATGTAGCCATGTCTCGCTTCCAGGATCACCATGAAACTGGCCAAGGTCACGCGCAGCATCAGTGACAATGCGAAGCTGTTGAGCTGAAGAGCAATGCCGGGCTTGCTGAACTGACAAGTGAAGCCCTGAGGCCACTTTGGCCACGAAGACGTCGCATCCGCTGCCTAAAGCATCCACATCCTGGCGGTGGCAATACTGTGGCAATGACGTCCCTGCGGCCACTCCAGCCTCGTAACGTACATGAGCAGCAGAGCCGCGAAGACTTGGCCAGAACGCAAGTTGGCTTTCTGAGCATTCATGGCACAGGAAATCTCCATTCAGTACGGCAGAGACTTCTGCTGTGGCTCGCAGGCGTCTTCCGCCGGCATCACAGCCACAGGGACCGCTTGAGTCGAGCGGTCAAAGCCGACAGCCTCCGCAAGGGCGAGAAACATCTTCTGCATGCTCCGCGTAAGCCGAAGCCTCCGCTGCGCCTCTCGCGAGAAGTCATCGCAAATGGCATGCTGTGCAAGCCGCAAGCCCCGTGCCCGCTGACCGGTCAGCAGCTTGGTTCCCCTGCAGGGGAGCTGCCGATGTGCGGCCCACGGCCATCTCCACAGCCGTATAGCATGGCCTTTATGACGTGCTGTATGCGCACACTGTCCGGCAGCCGATTGCGACGAGCAGCCGCCAGGCGACAGAGGTCCCCATTCTTCAACAAGGGAAAATACTTCAGTAGAAAAACGTGTGATTGTACGCACACCGTGCTGCCGTAAATGAGGTCACTGAAGGTATCGACCCGACCTTAAACGGGGCACGGAGGATGCCATGTAGCTCTGCCCTCTCCGCTGCCTGTCCTCCCAAAGCAAAAAAGGCTCCGCAACAGTGGCGCCCAGCGTGGCGTTGACCGCATACCTATATCGCGCTGGGATGCAGGGTTGTCCGGCTTGTCCCGCGTGGATCATCAACGTGTGGCATGTGCGGCATGTCAGGGCCAAGCTACAGTGAAGTTGTCCCTGGCCTCGTTGGCGAACCGCTGCAAGAAGACCCTAAGCTGGCCGCAGCGTTTCAAAATGGACTTGTGCAGGAACCTGAACAACAGCCGTATGCACCTGATTTGGAGTGATGCCCACCCTGGCTTCCTAAGTGCTGGCGCAACACCTTTGTGAAACCTTCCGGGGCCTTGTCCTCGAATGCCTGGACTCGACAGCATTCCAGGAGCTGGCAGGCGCAGGCACAACTTTCGACAGAAGACCGATCATGGTGCTGTCTGCAAAGGTCACCTGGGTTTGACAACGTCGCATGACCACATCTTTGCCGCCTAAGTTGTGGATGCAGAAGGTTTTTCGAACTCGCGCCCAAAGTGCGGACCCGGTAACAGCCGTGTGAACTCCCCACCCTTGTGCAAAGTCAGGCCTGTTTTCTTGCGTCTCTCTTGTTCGATAATGGTGATCGCGGAGATTGACGCTCCTTCCTCATTGCTGTTTCTCAGACGGCACCTCCCAAGGACAGCGCTCAACCACCCCGTTCTTGCAGAGGTGCTCGCGGCTTGAGGTTGAAGGTCTGGCCAAGCATGTTGGACCAAGCCCTGGAAGAGTGCGTGGACGTTGCAGTCGAGGGAGCGCTCGCTCCCGATTTGCCCCCGTTAGGCTTTGGATCTTGCTCGCAGCACGATGTGACACGAGCACAAACAGCCGCGCCGGTCCAGTGGATTCTTGTAGTTACTATGGATTCAGCCTCGAGGCGGGTTGTTGGGCGTTCAGGGACTGACTTTATTAGGGAGTTGCCAGTTGAGACCCACCCGCCCTTAGCCCGGTACGCGAAGGCTCTTTTCCTTGCCATACAGCGTACATACACCTTGCACGACGTCACAAATCTCTACCTACCTCCACAGCATCCCGAAATATCATCCTCCTAGCGTGGTGTAGGCTCTGCAGCGAACGATCAGGCACCACGGCAACGTCCGGTTCTGTTGTGATTAGCGACGAGTGAGTGGTGTGCACTTTGTTTAGAAGCCCATTTACGCACTTTCCCAGCCACGGCTCCGGCAGGCCTCCCGAACAATTACGCCACGCTTTGTTTACACTTCACACTTTCTCTACAAATGAATGATTGAGAGGATTCCCAGCATTAGCAGCACAGCGGATTTCTTGACATATGACTAACTCGCATTGCAAGTTATTGCTGTCTGCGGTCCGGATTTGAAATTACCGTGCTGTACGCCGACGCAAGTATGACAAACCCAGTGCAATTGGCAACGGAGCAAGGCCAAACCCGCCAACAAAAAACCTTCATTGCCAAAAGATCTCCGGATAGTTAGTCGCGTTTCAGGTTTCGGATATGAATTTCATTACTTCGCCAGGCCGTGCCCTCATAGCAGGCTGGTTGTGTCATCACTACCTCCTTGGCAGCGAAGAAAACCAAAGAACTCTTTCAAATCTTTTTGCCACCCGCCCAAAGTTGCTGCTGAGCCTTTGCTGTTTGTCGCCTTTTTAGCCCTTGACAGATCAGGGCATGCTTCCATCTTTTGAGTTCAATACATCTTCTTCTGCATGCGCACAGAATCGACGCATCTCTCTGGATGTGAGGCGATGCCGACTTTATCCGCAGCGTCTGGCCTCCTTCTTTGACCACGGCAGCCGCAAAACAGGATTTCTTTGCTGCTCCTTGCAGGCGGCTGCAGGGAAGAAGTGTCCCGTGCGGACAAGCCAATGCTTGGTATGGACAATGCTACAAATACTGCAAGCGCCAAACGATGGAACACATCTGGCAAGAGGTTTAGCCACCTCCGTCGGCCAAAAGCCCCGATGAGCGCCCCTGTCTTGGTGCAAAGCCTCAGGAGGCTGGAGGACAGCAGCAGCAGCAGCAACCACCACACCCGACCACACCAGCTTCATCAACATCGCCGCGACCACCACCATCGACAACAAAACGACAACAAGCTCATGCTCTTCATATTGACCAGCATCAGCGACATCAACCACCACAAGCATCCTGGCTGGCTGTTGCAGCAATTCATGCGTAAGTGCAAAACCACAACCATCACACGGTCGACACACGTCGACACGATGAACAAGATGAGTGTCTTGCACAAACCCAACCGTAGAAATGCCAGGCGAGGGGCCGACATGATGGCATGGTTCACCACCTGAGCTCCAGCACTCAGGACTACATATGTGACGCAGAAGGATGTGTGCTTTTCTCGTTTGAAAATTTGACCTTGAAATCCAAAGCCTCCCCCTTCAAGTGAGTTCCAGGCATTGGCCGACACCAGCAGGCAGCGTTTTCGCAACCTCTCCCTGACTAATTCTGCAATCGCATGTTCCGCAATGTAGACCACGTCGTCGTCCACCTTCCTTGGCAAACATAAAGAGGACATGCCTGGACACTTGCCCTTGCCTTCAGAATTATGCTGTGCCAATCTGTGTTGTCACATGCTGTAAGCATATTCTGCCCTGAAGGCGCTTATGGGCCAAGTCGGACAAGCGGCACATACACTGCGTCTGTCTCGTTCATGCTCTTGTAAAGCTGTACCATTCGATTCGAGATGGGATCGGCATCGATGCGAGACCGACCCCAGCGCTGCTCGGAGAAGTCTTGGATGTCGAAAGTTCCTGTTGTGGCGGAGCTGTGACTGTAACAGTACCAGACTCCGAAGACCAGCCAGCAACGATTCTACATCTGCGCCTCACACCATCTCAAACATGGCTGGGGGTCTTAGCCGAGATGCCATCAGCTCCGTCAGAAGAGCTGACCAGTTCTTTCAAGTATGAAAGGTCCTGTGTTGACGGGGAGCGACACTACTGGTATGGACAACGAAGGCTTGTAAATGTCAGCCCCCTTGTGTGGTGTGCCCGTACCTTCGCCGTGTATTGCCACAAGGCGAACACGATCTTGTCAACTACACCACCATGCTTTCGAAGATCGCGCCGAAGATAGCGCATCAGGATGCGCATGCGGTCTCGTCTTCCGGAGAAAACTACCACAACCACATTCACGGCCTGGAGGTCCTTGTACGAATCCTGTGGCAAGCTCACCCGCCGACTTCGCCACTCATACAAGGCGCCACATTCCGAAACCGGTCCTTCCGGACCAGACATGATGGATTCAACGGATCTGGCGGTGTTTCAGGTACTTCCCCACCCACGGTGTCTCCAACCTTCGGGCTTTTGCCATCCTGCAATGGATCTATTGCAGGTTCCGACGGAGCGATGCCCGCAACTTGAAAGTTCAGTCAGAAGCATGCAGGCGAACAAAAACACTTCCGAAATGAACAACCTCGCACCATGCGGGCACCAAGCCTGCACAACCTGGAGATCCGCTTTGCAGCTTGCGCCGTGACATGTAGCCTGTCGTGCGGGGGCATTCGGAATTTACTACAAGTGTTACCCTCTCTTTGATGCTGCAAGTGAATCTTTGCAGATCCGGCTTCTGCTGAGCGATGGTCAAAAATTCACGCCTCGCTTGCTTCCCATGAACCAGCTACAGCTTGGTGCGCTGATAAGAGGTCCTCGTAGGCAGTCCTGGAGATGTGGGAGCATGATCTTGCAGGAATTTCTTCAATGTCAAAGAATCCCAGCTAAGCCCAGACAGCTGGAGCAGCTTTGACAAGAAGTCCTTGATGTGCTTGTCGGCTCGCTGCTTTCAAGGTCTGCTGCTGGCTCGCGCGATGGCATGCCGTTCTGTGCTATGAAAGGCCGGCCTCACCGGAGCATTCAGCAACGGTTCCCAGCAACTGTCATGGCCTGCCTTGCCTATGCAAACAAGAAACGCGCTACATTATCATATTCATGATACGAAATAGAAAAGAATACAGCTGGTGGTGAGGGCAGGAAGAGGCCACCTGGCTCACGAAGATCCTCTAGAGGACAGCGCAGCCGCTGGACACACAACTCCTCAAGAACCTGGTGCAAAGCCAGCTTCTTCCCACGGCTCCCCTTCCTGGCCAAGTGCCGTTGAATTCATTGGGGAAGCTGGGATGCATTCAGGCCTGTCGTCATGCCCTGGTTAGTGTAGGACGCAAAGCAATCCTCCTCGCACTCCTTCTTCTGCTGCTACTTTACAACCACTTCTACGACTACCATTGCCAGCACCACTACCATTACTACAACTACCACTCACCACTACTGTCTGCTTACTACTACTACACTACTACTACTGCTGCTACTCCTCCTCCTCCTGCTGCTGCTGCCACTACTACGACCACCACCAGTACCACACTTCCACTACTACCAAAACCAAACTACTACTACCACTACTATTGCCTACTGCTACCACCACTACTACTACTACTGCTACTACTACTACCACTACCACTACCACTACTACCACTACTACTACTACTACTGCTACTACTACTACTACTACAACTACTACTACTACTACTACTACTACTACTACTACTACTACTACTACTACTACTACTACTACCTGCTGCTGCTGCTGCTGCTGCTGCTGCTGCTACTACTGCTACTACTGCTGCTACTGCTACTACTGCGACGACTGCGACTACGACGACTACTACGACTACGACTACGGCTAAAACGACGACTACTACTACCAGTACTACGGGCAACTGCTACTACTGCTTGCTACTTTGTTCTGCTGCTGTTCAAGCGTCTACCACTGGGACAACATGAAACAGAACAGCAACAAAAGTAAAAGGATCAAGTCGTGTCCAGCGTCCAAAGTCGCACGAGAATATGGCGATCTGCTGCCAGAAATCGCTGGCACTTCTCTACGACATCCTGGTCGGTGATTGCGGCAGCCTTCGGCAGCAGTACCATGGGTTGCTTTGTGTTTTCGGCTGCACGATGCCGGTGGAGTTCCGACTCGCCACCACACCTCACTGGGTTGGCATCACCGGCACTTGCTCAGCACTACACAGTACCCAGCCGAATGAGGCCTGAAAAGGCCTCGGGAGACCAACGGCTGGAGGTCTGCTGTTTAGCCTTCATGGTAGCGCCCATACTTGATTCTCACTAGCCAAGCACCACGCTGACCCCAGGATCTCGGCTAGATCTCTTAAGGCTGCAATCAAAAGAAGAATAAGCCGATCCAAATGCTCATCGGCCCGAAAGCTCGACCCCTCCACAAGCTCCCAAGCCTCCAAACGCCAAGCCAGCGTCTGCCGCAAAGCCTCTGCAGAGACTGTGGAGAGCCCGTCGACGCCTTGGAGCAAAGAGCAAAGCGTCTCACAGCAACACAGCTCTGGAAAGGGCGACAAACCAGCGGCATTCAGCTACGGCCCTGGGACATCTTACGAATCTTACACCTTGCACAGAATTCTTGCCCACCCTTGCGATGGTCCAGGCCAAGAACCTGGAGGGCACAATCGACAGCAGCGACCGGTCTTGTCTTACCACCCCAAGCCGTGAGTCTCCCTTTTGTTCTCGTAGGCCTACAATCTTAATTGTCGTGAGAACAAAAATTACTTGAACGACCAACCGGGGTGAGAGTCGAGAGATGGCAGTGTGTGGGCTTCGAGCAACGAAGTCCAAGAAGCATGAATGGCCCTTTAGAGGGATGCCAACCTGTCGTAGGAAAGGCCTCAAGAAGATCACGCTACTCGCGGAGGCTCTAGAGTCTGGAGCCGTCTTCTTCTCACAGTAAGCCTGAATCGAATACCGGAAGCGACTCCAGAACCGGTTCGAGGCACTAATTCTGACCAAAGACTGGAGGAATTCGAGAGCATCTCGTGCACCACAGGGGCGTACTGCAGGCAGGATTCGCAAACCTCAGAGCATCATACTTCGCAACAACACTCTGCCTATGCCTGCCGAAAACAAGCAGCCGAAGCTACGGGCTATTTCGCCCTCGAGTAATGCCAAGAGGTAGCGAGGTTCCAGCCGCAGGCGACATCAAACAACAGCGGGCTTGCCTGAGATGGGCTTACAGAAACGTCAGAGTGGGGCCGCTCCTCAGGGAAGAACGGCCGCAAAACTGCTCCGCAGTGCGCTGGCAATGCAAGGCAAGCTTGCCAACTCGATGGAGGAGAGAAACGCTGATTCCTGTTCCTTTCGCTACAGCGGCGGCACGATGGAATGCAGCATGGCTTGGTCCTACCCGGCCCGTGGGCACGCAACTTTCGGAAGACTTTGCTGAGCGCAGCCTCGGCACATGAAGGTGCCACCAGATGCCGAATAGCCGCATGACTGCATGGCAAGAGGCCAGCCAGAAGATTTGCAACCCAAGAAACGGCATTCTGCAATTTACATTGGCTTCGACAGGGCTTCTGGGATTTTGAAACTGAGCAGTACTCTCTCTCGAGCCTCGCATGCTCCGGCATGCGCTCCGGCATGGGACGATCGGATGAAGCTTCAAAGGGGCAGGCAGCAAGTCGGTCTCTTGCCCAAAAACACAAAGAGATCCTTTTCCAGTCAGCAATTTTGCTCACAGCTGCCCTGCAGATGAAGGCCGCGTCACTCTGCGACAGCTCTCCTTTCCACTCACATCAGATGATGGCAAGTCTTTTGGTGCAGTTGCAAGTACATCTTGGAGAGCTGCCGGTTCTTGGAGCTATCGGTTTTCCTCAACGCCCCGTCGGCCAAGGGCGAAGGATGACCCTGCCATATGGCCGCGTCTGCGTCTGTGCATCGGCGTCACATGTTTCGAAGGGCTGTCCCTTGCATATGGCTCCTTCTCGCTCTTAGCCTCTGGGGGCTGAGTCACCGCGGATTTGCGAGTACGCCGTAGTATCACAGTGTGACCGGCATAGAACGAGCACCGCTGCTGAAGCGGCGTCACATAGACGATTTGAACCCAGTCCATCGCTGTCTGTCTGTTGTATGAAGTCTTCAATGGCTAATTGCTTCTACGGAGAGGTGGCTCTTGCCAGTCACGCGACTCCGACACATGAGGACACACTCTTGCGGAAAGCCGCGAAAAAGTAGTGGAATGAGTAGAAACTGAGCATCTGTATCCTCGTGCGCCTGAAAACTCGGTCGTCAAGCCTCACAGTGGAACACTTCACGGCCGCCTGGTGCTGTCACGACAGAGAGGCCTAGGGCCTGAGTTTCCTCGTGCTTCCGGGGATGTGAGGCAAACGTAGAATAATGCAGGGTGCCGAGCTCCTTGCCTGCAGGAGCTTGGCTACAAACCCGGAGGTCCCTGCCACGGCAAGTTCTTCGACCAGAGTGCAACGCACTGAGAGCCCAGATATTTCCAAGTAGTAGAGGTAGAGTCGTAGAGATGATCCTCTTCTTCAATTTGCAGCTGAGGCACCCAGTCTGCTCCCTTTGGCCACTCTTCGGCCTTGGGCTGCCAATCCTCGTGTTTCGGCTGCCATTCTTCGTGCTTGGGCTGCCATTCGGATCTGCCAGGCCCGTCCTGGCATTGAAGCCCAACCTAGCATATCCTAGCATGCTTACATGATCCCACTTGAAAGCCTTCGAAGGCCTCCTCTTCAGTCAAGTGCTGGCAACTTCAGCTTCCCTCCACACCGGCCTTGCTCCAGTAAGGTGCTTTTCCTTTGCCGCCCTTACCCTTCTTGCTCTTTCCTTTGCCTCAGGCGTTGCAATGCTTGCACTCTCGCCTGCTGGGCGTTGTGCCACCTCGGCTGAGTTCCTGGCCGTAGCCTTTTCCATTTTTGGCGCCTGAAGACCAAAAGGCATCTTCAAGCCATCTCCCTCTTCAGCGGCCCCCAACGCCCAACCCTTCAGACCCCCTCACTTGCACGTGGAAGCATCTCAGGAACAAGCCGTAGTCTCCCTGGCCCTTGCCGTTCGCTCGGCCTGGGAAGTGAATGTGCGACAGCGGGCTGAGGAGCGGGTTCAGAATTGCTACGGTCATATATACAGTGCCAGAGTCGATGTACAACTTGCTCCGCGCGCTACTGCCCTTTAAGGGGAGCATTCAATTCCGTACAAGACACAATGGCTCGTGCCCGGGCCTGCATCGGGGCGATCCCAGCCATCTCCTGGCATTGTGTCGAAGCCGCAGAAAGAGCTGAAGTCGAGTCCGGAGCGCGGAATGAGGATGAATGAGGAGTAGCACTGCCTCCGCCGGAGTGCTGCTCAATCTCCTTGGCGATCCTCTCGGCTTCCGCCTCAGAATCCCGCAGTCCACACTCCACACATCTTCCGCTGTTGGACACACGACGCAAGACTCAAGCTGCGTCTTCAAAAAACTGGTCCGCAGTGAAAACCAGCAGGTGAGGCTTGGCCATGGGCACGCTTATCTGCCGGAATGCTCGAGATGTCCAACTGCCTCGGTTACGAGCAGATCCTTCAACATGGGAGCTGACTAAGAGTACTGCGAACTGCGAACAACTGAGCGGACGAGCGTGGAATAGAGGTTCGCCCAGTCTGCTTTCGGCGCATCATCTTCTGTCATTGCGGCATTGGCGATAGCATGGGCTTCTTCCGACTTTTCATATTGTTCAGGTGAAGTCTAAGCAGGTCTGCCCTACCAGCACAAGTATCAGACAATACCGACTGTTTGTCCACGGACCGAGTGATCAAAGCCATGACATAATCGTGCCCCTTTTTTGCTCGTTGTCCAGCAGCCCGGTTACAGCATGAACCCCTGGTTACAGCATAATCGCGCCCCTGAAGGTGATACCGACTGCAGGCTCATGCGCATCTGCCGAACTCCCATCTGTCTTGCCTGGAAGCTCTGGTCGAGGCTTCTCTTGCGGGGCCTCCTGACACCGTTGGAGGGGATAAGGGACACGCACGACTTCGAAGATCTTTTGCCGTTTCGGCACTGTCATAGTCTATCATAGTCTCCTAGACTCGACAGAAGTACAACAAGAGCAAGCTCTGAGCTTGCAGGGTCCTTGTTCCAAGAGCCACGCTGCCGCCAATCTTCTTGCTTCCAGTCGTGATACCTGCGAAAGACGGGCCTTTGTATTGGCAGTCACCACAACATCACCGCAACTCAACGAAGCCCTCACCTCGACTGCTGGTGACCATACTGCTGACCGCCATAGTGTTGGCTGCCGTACTGTTGGCCATAGTGATCGTAGCTGTTGTACTGGCTGTAGGGCCGCTGGTATGCCTGGCACCAGCTAGGAATCCGCAACCTATCAGAGAGTGCCCTATCCACGACCGCTGTTGACCTGCTGGGAAACTCGAAGCTCCTTTCCCCATCCCAAGACTCTGGCGCCTGCTGTTCTGACCTCGGCCCCAAGGAACCCAAGCGTTTCTCAGGTCAAAGAACAGGAGGCAGCGAGCACTGACATCCAGTTGCATGCTTGGCGCTGAACCTGTAGCTTTGACGATAACTGTCTCCATTCGTTTGCTGCCTTCATGCTACCAGCACTTCTGATCATAAATTCGCCGCCCGCACAGTGCATCAACCAGGCCAAACCGTTTGCAAGCGACGCGTGCGCTCCCGAAGCTGTGGCCGAGGCGGGCCCCTTGTGTAGGAGCCTGCAACGGTAATCGGCAGCAGCCCAAGAATCGCAGGAGCTTCATCGACAAGTGCTTGTCTTGGACGGCTGGACCGCATGCAAAACGACGTTTTTCCCTCCTACTTAGCAAGACGACTTCAAGACGAGGCTTCGCTGCCCCGGCATGCCTAGAAGTACAGCTTGAACGTGATATGCTAATGTGTGCAGCATGCGCGCATCAATCCTTAATGAATCTTAATGAACTACGCCCGCACGTACACAGCGATCGCTCGTTGGTGTTGCCTCCGCTTTCGGCTCCTCTTCCTTATTCTCCTTTTTCGTCGATGGTCTCTTCTGTTTAGCTGGGCTTGAAGCAGGCGGAGAGAAAGGAGCTCCACTTCTTGGCTTCTCTTAGCCATGATTTGTTGGATGGTGTTCTCAGCCCATTGAACGATGGAACGAGCTACGATGATGTCTTTTAGGAGGCGGCGTTCTGAAATGCAGAATCTTCGTCCTACTTATCACATGCAACCACCGCTACTGCCATGATCACGGCAAGGAGTGTCCAACAAGTCAGGGAGTAAACCTCAACATGAAAACCTGCCGTGTTCCTGCCTCCACCAAGGTGGTTCGCCGTCTGCTCTGACTGGGTGAAGCCGATGCCCTGGCTTTCCTGCTCGGATGTTGCACCCCTTCGAGCTGAAGCTTGGATCACAAACTTCACCAGTGCAAACAATTCACAGAACCTGGCTGCCCCGACGACACATTCAGCAGGATTCCAAAGGCAGGCTGCCTGAGGTGCCTTGTGCAGCATGTTCAGGAGCTCGTTCCGCATGTGCTGGCGAGGAAATCGGGATCATGGTCTCGGACGCAAGTCTTCCAAACAACAGCAGAGACTTGCACCAGCATCTTGACAGGCCCCTCGACGAAACGTGAAACACTGCCATGCCTACGCATAAGATCACATAATAATCGCATACGTGAAGCTGGCCTGGTGCGAGTCAGGCGTAGCCTATCGAAGAGAACAGGCCAAGCAAAGGGAAAGCCTCGAACCTCCGTACTAGCGAGGCACCGGCCTCGGACGTCGGCTGGGCAATCTCGGATTCCCCGGAAACTAACCAGGACCTTTCGCTTCACAGGCAAGCCATGCAGATCGTCTACAGCAGGGCAAGGCTTCTCGAGGCCAGTGCGGATGCTGCCTCACTGGCTCGGGCAGAATCCTGGCTGCAGCCTGCCGACAAAATGCAGTTTGCAGATGATCGCGTCATGCCCCGTTCAGATCCAATGGACCTGGTGCTGGTAGGCGTCTTCCTCGCGGGAACGCCGCAAACTTGTTTACACCCCATCTTTCCGGCTCCAGCTAGAGACACGACCAATAGCGACGCTAGTGCCGGCATGTCTGCTGTCCTGTTCTTACTAATTAATGTGGCCCCGAAAGCTCTATTCACGAATGCGACCATGCATGCGCAAGAACTCGCCAGAAACCAACATTTTATGTCGCATATGATATGCTGCTATTCATACCACATGTTCAGTGTACTACTACCCCACAAGCTCCTGCCGCCGTCGCTCTGCTTCTTGTGCCTCGCGATGGCGATCCCACTCCTCGGGTACTCTGCAGAAGCAGGGGGTCGATCCAGAAGGGGGTATCGGATATCTCAACTCTCTTACGTTGACATCAGAGGAAACTCCCAAACAGTGGCGAAGTCCTCCTGCTTCCTGAGCTGCTCCTCCTGATATCTTCGCTCCTTGCAAGCCACATCCACGGCAGCGGGTAGTGTCGCTACGCAGACGTGAAGTGTGCCTCCTCCTCTTGCAGGATCTTCTGCTCTGCTGCGCGGAGTTCCACTTCGGTCTGCGGGCATGCTGCAGGAAAAGCGTGTTCAACTTCGCTGTGCAGCCTGGGCAAGTTCAGTCTTCTTCACTCGTGCCAGCCTCCCTCTTTTTGTCAAGCTTCGGCAGCTGCAAGGGGTCGACCTTGGAGGTCTTTCGTGGTAGAGTTGACGGAACTTCTCAGGCTTGTCTTGTCCGTGGATCAGCTGGCATAGAAAGGGACGAGCTGAGTCTCAGGCTTTCTCGCCTCTCGCAACTTTATCCTGTCGCACGGAGTTTCACTTCTGATGCTGAATCGGATGATACTTCTGGCGTCTTGCAGCTGTGCTCCTCGATGCGCTCTATCTCTCGCAGCTTCTTTCTCAACTTGGCTGCCTGCGGCACATTCAGGACCCATGCGCTCAAAGCATCTCTCCTTCTTTGGCTTCCTGGGCCGCCCTGCCTCTTTTTCGGCTGCAGTCTTGGGCCTGTCGAAGGCCGCATGAGTCAGCAGCGGTCAGCATGCAGTTTCCAACGATCGGCCTTTCTTCTCTGGGCTCGGCTGCCTCCTTAGACCACGCACCAGGGTGTCAACCGAGTGTGCCAGTGTCGAGCCCTGTCGCAGAACTGGTTCTGAGGCCCTGTCGTCTGCGTACTGCTTTTCATCGTGGCCGGAGGCCCTCGGACAGGTGCGATGTGACGACTCTTGGCGCAGTGTCACAGGTCAAGGCCCTGGCTCAAAGGCGGCCTCTGCTGTTTCAGCCTGCAGCCATCACACTGGGTACTGGGTCCCGGTGCTGGACGGCTCTAAGCTCCAACCCGACACTCCGAGCTTTCCGATACCCGTAGGGAAGAATTTTGCCTGCGGCCTTGCAGCCCCATCGTACCCCTCGCCACTCCAGTCTTTCAGCTACATCACCCAAGCAGATAATCGAAGCTTCTCTAAGTCTTAGATGAATCCGAAACTCTCCAGAAGTCGATGGTACTTTGGAAGCACCTCCTTCCTCCCCTCCCCCCCAGGCCCACGCCCCAGCGCGGCCTCGGCCTGCACTCGAGCCTGGATCAGAGAAAGGCGCAAAGGTGGCCTCTGCTTCTTCTCTGCAGCTTCAGAGAGACTGACCGGGCCTCTCTGTTTTTGTGCTTCTCTTTCTTTTTGGATTGCTTCGAGGTGGGCTGCTGACCTCATCATGCAAAAAGCTCAGCGAGGCAAGGGCACGGCATCTATGCGTAGCAAACGTATGGCAGATCGAGAATTCACGCGGGACTATGTGCTGGGCTCATGAGCAGCTCCACCGCTCGGCTGATGTCCTGAGCACGTCCGGCATCTGGATAGGCCCAGGACGGCAAGGCAAGCAACATGTCCTCGTTCGACTGCACGAGGGCATCGCACACCTGGTCGTCGCTGAACTGTGGCAAGATGTCCTTCACCTGAACAGGGGGAACCCGCTCCATGCATCCGCGTTCTAGGGAGATGCTGTCTCTGGCTCTGGCCTGGCGAACTAAGGCAGTGTAGTCCCTTGCCCTTGGAGCACAGATCAAAGAGCAAGCGCTCGGCGCTACAGCTGCAAATGCCGCCTTTCGTCTCAGCCCTGTGCTGCGAACCAATGATGTCTTTCTGCGCCGACGAGAGCAATGCCGACGGCATCCTGATCGCCGGGGAGAGTCGTTGCACGGCCCTGGAGTCTGGAGACAAAAATCGCTTTCCTCCGAGGCCAGTAGAGGCGTGCCTCTACGCCGCGACCCGAAGACTCCGACTTCGAGCCCAGAAGCTGAGCACCGAGGGAGAGCTCCGTCCCGATATGTCACGATGCTGTGCAGTTTTATAAGAGTTCTCTCGCATCTACAACGTGGCGTCAATTTTCGGTTCTTTCCTTGCAGGAAGGCACTGGCCGTGATGTGCCGCGATGCCTTGCAAGCTGGAGGCTGCCTTCGGCAGTGCCACCGTCGACATGGAGCCATGGCTCCTGCCCTTTGCTTTGCGGCGCTTCAAGATAGCCCTGCAGCCCTTCATATTGAGACGCCCTTGCATGTTGCGACGGGAGAGCTACAAACAAGCTTGTCGACCAAGAAGGCCCGCTCATGCTTGGGCTGGCGATCTCTCATGACGATGTGCTGCCAACTGGGGATGGCATGTCTCATCTTTCGAGCTGCACAATGGCAAGTATCACGTAGCGCCCTAAGGGCAAAGGAGTGAATTCGAGTGCATCTGTGCAATTGCTGTACATGTGCTCAGCAACATGGTCAGCAAACTGGAAAAGCCAGCTGTGGCAGCATGCTCACGACTTTCTGATCGCATTCGACGGTCCTTCGGTGTTGGTACAACACGCAACCTTTTCCAGCACGAAGGCTCAGAGCATGCATCGTGCTGGCCAAATTCTGCTTGCCGTTATGCTTGAAATATTCTTCGAAGCAGCGAAGCTTGGTGGATGTTTGTGGCTTGTGGGGTGTGGAGGGTTTCATCGGACACGCGTCCCTGCTTCGCTTGCCATCCATGAGAATAACTTCAGAATAATCAATAACCGTAAGGTGGTCATTGACCACCCCACTGCTCTTGATAAGACGTTTGGCACGGCACTCCGGGCCGACACATCCTGCCCAACTTAGGTCAACGGGCCACAGCAACACAGTTTGTCGCGGGTTGATAAGCAAAGCCGTCTTTTGCTTCTTACGTTGAACCTTGGATTCGCATGCAGCCGTCAATCACGACATCGTGGTCTGCCCAGGAAAGGGCACAGGCAAGCTGCGGCACAGTCCAATTCTAGCTGCTCAGAAGAACCTTGGTCTGTGTTATCCATCAGCATCTCCCCAAGCATCTTGGTCCCAACTCACCGGAAACCTATGCGTGCCCCAAGCAGTTTGATCAAACAACCTAAAATAGTAATAATAGTAATAACAAGCAGAAGACGCAATCATCATGATAATAATAATCGTGCTAGTAGAAATAGTAATAATAATAATATAGCAACAGTAGCCGACGCAAAGCATAAAGTGTCCATGGGCCGAGGTCACCGCGACATTTCGCCGCTGGTGGCAGGTCGAGCTCTCGATGCCTCAGTAATCTGAGGCAGTTCTCACAAAATAGGCAAGTCTTGAGATACACAGCGCCAGGCTGTCAAAACTGGGAGGATTTCCTTGGGCTGAGGTCGACTTTCCCTAACTCGGGGTCCGAAAGTTCTACTGAGAAACGATGTTCGTCTTGGGTTTGCCAGTAATGCAGAGCTAATCAGAAAAGAATGTCACCTTGGGCACGGGCAAGCTTCAATGGTGACTCGGGCAGGATGCCGTCGGGCATGCTCTCTGCAACCTCGAAGTATCCAGGGAACATGCGCTTGGCTCTGGGCCGGTCCTACTCTCCAACGCCACAGCCGGCCGCCTGAAAAGCCGGAAAACGGCCTCTCCGACTCTACTCTCTACTGTCCGAATCGACCGTTACCTTCCTGAGAGCCAAGGGGCAAAAGAGGAGGCCGCCAACACTCGCCTTGGCAATTGAACTATCGAATCTCTTGCATAGTCTGCATTGCTGCTCATGCACCGTCATGCAATGTTTCGCTAGGAGCCTAAAGAGCTGAGACAGGTGCGATGTCATCACTGAGTCTGAGTCCAAGATCCATGCAATGAACCTGACAAGCTCATACTCAATAGTTGAAAGCATAGCTTTCCCTTTGCAACGGTGCAGGAATACTTGGTCAACAGCTCGGCATAGTGTATGTAACCATCGGAGTCCGCGTCTGCCTCTCACGGGGGCACCGTCGGACCGTGCTGTTGCATCCCGTCGATATACCTCGCATTGGCCAACATCCTTTGGCCCGCCTGGGCCGCGAGTTGTCGCACCTTCTCCTGCGTGAAGAAAGCCTGCTGAGGTTCGCACGGATCACGCACCCACAACCCGTGGAGCGAATGTTCACAGTCTCTCTCACTCTCATGTCCGTCTCGCGATATGGATCACAGGCAACGGCGTCGTGCATGTTCCTCTGGCTTCTGCTTGGCTCCATGTACAAAGAATAAGAAGCAACCTCCGCCAGGAAAGCAGCTCAAGAACCAAACAAAGCCGAGCAACCGGATCGAGGCTTCTAAGGATGTAGGTGCACTCATCGATGTCGATGACACCGTCGCCTCAGTCTTCGAACAGAGCCGACCATATCTCTGTGGAAGCTGCTAGACGACGACACAGGAGAGGGTCGTGAGATGTTTTGCACAGTCGGATCTGCTAAACAGTGTTCGGCTGAGGCGACTGGAAACAAGCAAATGCTGCCAAACTGTTTTTGCCACTGGACTCAAGTCTAGCCAGTCTACGACCCACAATCATGTTGACCGAGGCCGACATGCAGCACCGATACACAAAGCCGCCTTTCCCTTTTGCTGGCAAACTACCAGTCGTCCTTGCAAGCAAGCCGCCTTTCCCCTATAAACCCTAAACCTTTCTAGCGAAACTCTGTTCCAGACTGTGGCTAAAGGACATGGAGTAGTCTCGGACCTGTGCCTGAGATGCAATGCGGAGGTGGGACGTGCGAAACTTACCAACGCCGTTGTTCAAAGCGGGGTCTAGCAGAGAAAATGGGTTTTCCGCCTCCTGCACATCGGCCTTGCCGGTGGGAACATGTGAGCTGTGGCGGAACCAAGAGCAAGGCCATTGGAGTCAAAATATGCAAAAGCCTGTCAGCCCAGCGGCTCAGAACTTGAATTGCCGACTGACGAACTGAAAAGGACAGCTACGTCAAATAGGCACACCTTTTTCAGCCAGGGCCAAGTGCGCTGTCTGAGTCGTAATGTCCTAACTTGCCGGCTCAAACGTCGGCCATCCTGCCTGCATGTGGTTATCTATGCCTGGTAACGACAACGGGAAAAAGCAACGTACCTTCTCTTGATATTCTCGGTAGCTTGCCCGCTTCTTGGCACTGAAATGCTCCGCCGGCCCAGCACCAGTCCAATGCACTAAGCAATCATACAGCACTCGGGGGAGCATGATCAAACCCACCATATAGACGCGGAAAATGAAGGCGTGTTGTTGTGGAACGACATTCTCGTTAAGGAGAGATGGGAGGGCAGCAATTGCCAAACCGACCCAGGCGCACCACTCGCCGAAGTAGTTCGGATGCCGGCACCAAGACCACAAGAAGTACTTGTCAAATGGTGCAAGGCCCAACGTGGCGTCGCTCTTCTGAAGCTGTTTGCACTCCTCCAGGAAAAGCATCTTCTGGTAGTCCGCAAAGCTCTCAAAAACCCAGGCCGCAGCCCACATGGCGAAGCCTAGCCACTCAACCCAAGAGATGTAGGCATCTGGATTGCTGGCTGCCAAGAAGGCAGGCACACAAAGAATGATGATGTTGCAGATTCCCTGGCCAAAAGAGTCCAATTGCATCTTCAGCCACCACGTGTGTTCCGGCATGCCCTCAATGCTGACCCATTTATGCTTTGCATACTGGTACCTCGGAAGATCTTCTTGAAAACGATAGGTAAAGTTGGATGACTGGCCCCACATCACCAGCACGCCCAAGGCCATGCGACCCCCATGTAGCAGGAAACATGTTGCTATCAAGCATTTACGAACCCACAACCCAGCACCCAGTAGAAGCGATGTTGCTCCAATTGCAACAAGTCCAGAAGGCCAGCCAATGTCAACATAAAGCATTTTCCCGGTTAGAAGTATTGGGAGTTGCACCACAGGCAGAAAGATCCCCAGCTGGACGACGGCATTCGTCCAGAAAAGACTCTGCAAGGCCGGTGGTGCGAAGAGAACGCCGAAAATTTGTGCGGATACTAGAGCGCTTTCAAGCCAGTGCAGCTTACCACCTGCTGCAAACCAATGGCGCCAGTTGCCCTTTTCATGAGGCATGGCACCTAAGAGCTAGAATATCGCTGGGCCTGAGAGAAGAACCTGTTTCGAGCCTCAGTGAGGCCTTCGTGAGAGTGACAATGTGAAGCATGAGCGGACCCACAAGAACTCCACAGTTCAGGCTCACTCTCTCTCCAAAATGGAGTCTGCGAGCAGAGGAATGGCATCTGCCTTTGCGATCATCAAGCTCATGTTGTCACGAGCAGCGGTCGGCGAGCCCATCCTCAATGAAAGGAAAGATTTTCCAGCGCTACGACAGCGCGGCTCTCGAGCATCTGCCGAGCCCGCCAATACCGACTGTTACCCACCGCGATATCATCTCAAGACATCTCGAGAATGGCTTCATGTTTTCTTGCAGGACAGCTCGTTTCAAACACCGAGCAGGCTGTACTTGCCCGACGCCACTTCGAGAGCCGCGCATGGGATAGCGCTGCGTCTTGTGCAGCATGTTGGCCTCTCCGACCTAGTAGTGATTGCGCAGCGAAGTCGGAGAAGCGAAGCCACAAAAAGGTTGAAAGCACCCCCCGGCTGCCTCTTTCTGCATTGCAGCAACCTGGCAATATGACAGCTGCAGTCACGTCTTCGTGACAGGCACACTATATAAGAAGACACAGTCCACCAATGCTGCCATGCACTTGGCTCAGCACCCTCTCGTCCAGCGAGCTGCGATTCCGTGGAACTGGTTCTGGCCGGCTACCCTGGCATTCAGAGCAAGGGCATCACATGCACTTTCGACGTGCTCCGGAATCTGGGCAGCAAGGCCTGCAGCCTCTCAAACTTGTCTGTTCGGGAAAAGTGGATCAAGTACACATCCTAGGTGCGTCCGGCTTCGGGCAGTGTTTTCGCCTTTCTCGCGTCCGGCTGGATGCCATGAACTTCAGAGGCACTGACCAAAGGAGCGGACTTATACGCTTCCAACACCTCAGGGTCTCCCAGCCAGCCCAGCCGACAGAGAAAGCAAAAGGATAATAGCACACCAGGCTGGGTCCCAAGCTCTGTCAACAGCCTGGTAGATCCAGCTCGGTCGATTGCCTCACGATGGCTCTGCAGACTTCCTTGAGATATGCAAAGAGCAACCGCTCTCAAGTCCCAGAGGGAATGTGAAGGATCAGCACATTGCGAGCTGCTGAAGTCGTTTCTGATGCGTGCACTTGGTGTTGGCTTCTGTCTCTGTTCTCAGGAGGCTCTGCATGCCATCCGCTCGGTTCGCAGAGCTTCCCACTGCATTAACAGGCACAACTGGAAAGGCTTCCACTGACCCGCCTGTCTTCTGTAGGTGACGTACATGTTGCAAGCCATGTAAAAGACAAAACATACGAACTCATACAACATTGAGATTGCAAGCTGCGATACTCCATCGCCCATGCCAATCTCACAGCAGGTACGTTTGCACCCCGATATCACCTGGTCTTCGTTGGCCAGGACAGGTGATATTGGTTCCTGGCCCCCTGCAAGACAAATAAACTTCATGACAAAATTGAGAAATAAAAGCAAACATAAACGAGACCCTTCATGGAATGCATAACATCGCATGTACAGCAGGATAACACAAACAACGCCCGCCGTTGAGGTCCGGGCGTGACTGTTGCAATCTAAGATCAAAGCACTCACACGACGCTCTTCAGAACACATGGTAAGGCACTGCATGTGTACCACTGTCGCGTCTATGTCTCAAGTCACACTCACAACTTTACAGCCTGGAGGTCTGCACGAAGGAAAGGGCGAAGACGCGATACCGGTGATAATGTTCGGGCATCACTCGAGCTGAAGTTTGCATGATGATCGGCACCTGCAAGGATGGCAACGATCCATCTCTCTTGCAAATCGTAAGGTCCGGCCTGCAAATAACACCAACGACCAACGTTCCTAACTGGCTTCAAATATAGTCTTCGCATCTGACACGGTCCGTCACGTGAATAGATGACAGCGAACAAGGAGACGTTGTAGAGACAGGCCCGATGAGGTGACGGAGAAAGTGAAACAACTACAGATGGACGCAAGAAAACAATGAACGAACAGATAACACCAGCGACCAGCGTTCCTGACTGGCCTCAAACATGACCTTTGCATCTGTCGCCGTCCGTGCACCAAGGCCTCAAACAACACCACCGACCAGCTTTCTTGACTGGTCTCAAATATGATCTTCGCATCTGTCACCGTCCGTCACGTGAATAGATGACAGCGAAAAGGGAGACGTTAAGGAGACAGGCCGATGAGGTGACGGAGAAAGTGAAACAACTACAAATGGACGCAAGAAAACAATGAACGAAAGAAGAAGAATCAGGCGAAAATGAAGACTGCGCTAAGGCCTCAAACAACACCAGCGACCAGCGTTCCTGACTGGTCTCATCTGTCGCCGTCCGTGCACGAAGGCCTCAAATAATACCAGCGACCAGCGTTCTTGACTGGTCTCAAATACGATCTTTGCATCTGTCGCCGTTCGTGCACTAAGCCTCAAATAACACCAGCGACCAGCGTTCCTGACTGGTCCCAAATATGATCTTCGCATCTGTCGCCGTCCGTCAAGTGAAAAGATGACAGCGAAAAGGGAGACGTTAAGGAGACAGACCGATGAGGTGACGGAGAAAGTGAAACAACTACAGATGGACGCAAGAAAACAATGAACGAAACAAGAAGAACCCGGCGAAAATGAAGACTGCACTAAGGCCTCAAATAATACCAGCGACCAGCGTTCCTGACTGGTCTTAAATATGATCTTCGTATCTGCCGCCGTCCGTGCACCAAGGCCTCAAATAATATCAGCGACCAGCGTTCCTGACTCGTCTCAAACATGATCTTCGCATCTGTCGTCGTCCGTCACGTGAATAGATGACAGCGAACAGGGAGACGTTGCAGAGACAGGCCCGATGAGGTGACGGAGAAAGTGAAACAACTACAGATGGACGCAAGAAAACAATGAACGAAAGAAGGAGAACCAGGCGAAAATGAAGACTGCACGAAGACCTCAAATAACACCAGCGACCAGCGTTCTTGACTGGTCTCAAACATGATCTTCGCATCTGTCGCCGTCCGTGCACTAAGGCCTCAAAAAAAAAAAAATATATATATATATATATATATATATATATATGGTCTATATACCAGCGACCAGCGGTCCTGACTGGTCCCAAATACGATCTTCGCATCAGTCGCCGTCCGTCAGGTGAAAAGATGACAGCGAACAGGGATACGTTGAAGAGACAGGCCCGATGAGGTGACGGAGAAAATGAAAACAACTACAAATGGACGCAAGAAAACAATGAACGAAAGAAGAGGAACCAGGCGAAAATGAAGACTGCACTAAGGCCACGCACTACTGGACACTTCTGTACAAGTGATCTCCACTGTGATTTCCACTATGATCTCCACTGTGATTTCCAAAAGGCTGATCTCCGCACAATGATTTCCCCTTGAACATGTTGTGAAACGGGATGTGATCTCCGATCCTGCTAACACAAGCACCCCGGTGGGCCGGCAACTTCGCCGAACAGCGACAAGGCCCTCATGAGGGAGCTCTTGTCGAACACAACTGGAAAGGCTTCCACTGACCCGCCTGTCTTCTGTAGGTGACGTACATGTTGCAAGCCATGTAAAAGACAAAACATACGAACTCATACAACATTGAGATTGCAAGCTGCGATTGCCAATCTCATAGCAGGTACGTTTGCACCCCGATATCACCTGGTCTTCGTTGGCCAGGACAGGTGATATTGGTTCCTGGCCCCCTGCAAGACAAATAAACTTCATGACAAAATTGAGAAATAAAAGCAAACATAAACGAGACCCTTCATGGAATGCATAACATCGCATGTACAGCAGGATAACACAAACACGCACATGGGGAACAGACCATCTTGACAGCACCTGCGAGGCACTCACTGCTCCCCTTCACGCAACCCTTCGTCGCACGCACTCTGAATCTGAGGAAGCCTGAACCTGGAGTAGACTTAGTAGACACCGTGAAACCTGAGACGAAGATCGACAGTCTCGAACAGGAGTGGTGCGATGCTATGGCGGGCGAGATGATTGGGGACTTCTTCAACTTCTTCGTGCCCAGCGGAGCCAGACGCGGGATCTCTGCGGCAGAGGGCTGAGTCAGGTTTGCACTGCACTGAGGTCGTGCCATCTTGCACAAGGGCAGGTGCGGCAGGTGCAGCAGCAGCAGTCGAAGGACTGCCCTCTCAACAACAGACGACCCCGTGCAGTATTCCTTCTACAGGTCTCTTTTTGCTGTGGTAGATGACGCGCAGAAAGCGGGCCACACATGCAGCAGGGACCCGCAACTGTGGAACTGGAAAGCTACACTCCGGTTCACGTGCTGCCGAGCCTAGAGCTCCAGCTCCGATCGCAGTGAGAAAGACTTTGACGCGTTGCCGCCGCCTGGCACGCCCAGCCATGACGTCTCGGACTGCCATGGGCATCCTTGCGCTGCGGCGTTTCGTCGTATCAGTACCTCTGAGCTTCGCACCGGGCCGCCAGGATTGCACCTGCGGCCAGCGTGGCATCCTCAGTGCTTCACCACCAAGCTGCAAGCTTTCCAAGCTGCAAGCTTTTCTACGGAACTGTTGTTGACGCTTTGGAGAAGGACCTCTCCAGTGAAATCTTGAGACATGGGCTGCTGAACCAAGCCCATTAGTCATGCGAGGAGGCCAAACACGTCCACAGATCCTTCTTCACCTCTTCCCTCGAAGCTGAGCCAAGGGCATATGCACCTGAGACCGGACGTCAAGGCAAAGAAACGGACCGCGGAAGGCCAAATTGGAATCTTCGATTAATCATCTAAACGGCTCATCGAATCCACAGGAGACCTGCCGGGGGCCCGCACCAGTTAGCAAACTGATGGCAAATGGCGCCCAGTGCTGTGCCTGCAGGCAGAGTCTCTGTGGGTTCAAACCTTTTGGTCCGACCTGAAAGTGACCTGCAACATCCTGCATCCACTAGCGACTAGCACCCACTTCCTGTTCGCACAAGGATTCCTGGATTGCAGTGGCACTGCGATGCCTTCACAATCTTGGAAAACGCAACGGCAGGCGCAGAACAACACACCTGCGCAGCTCAGTCACTCTCGTGTCACTTTCCGAATTCCGGATTCATCACGCAACAGGGAACGCCTGACAAACGTTGTGAGAAATGTCGTCTAGCAGCACCTGTGTGTCCCAGTGAACCTGCAAGCGAATATTCAATCAAACCATGTCGCGAGTACACTGTTGCATGAATCATTGTCTGAGAGCGCAACCCCTACTCGAACTCGACTGGCCACATCATCTGCCAGAATTTGATCACTGGCAAGCCCTGAGAGAGCTTAGGCGAGAACCCTTGCTCCGGGAAGCTCTCAAGAACATGCTGCAAGCTGCACTCGCACTGCTGCTCGACCCCCAACTTGAGGGGCCGACTCTCACCGAGATCTATGAGCTTGCCACCAGGCCTGACTTCACCGTGGACTCTGTCTACATGCACATCTTGCGTTGCGGTGCAAGGACAGAACCTGGGCATCATGAAGCCATTCCTCACGACCCAATATCCTGCGAAAGGCTTCTGGAACACATGCGCATCTGAGCAAAATGGCAAAGGGCACAAATTTAGCACTTGCATGCGAAAATGCGCCCGAAGCCCGGAGTTGCAGGGCAAATTATGCCCATGCTCGAGAGCCGAGTCGCCTTCTTTGCGATTACCAACCAGATCACCGACGTGCGTGAGCAGGTCCATCTGCCGAGTTCCACTACTGCACTTAGGCAGATTAGGCTTGGGCCAGGCTTTTGCAAGTGATGCCTGGCCCTGGCCAGGCCTGCTGACCACGCCCTTGCCCAACGCCATTCAGGAAGTAGTTTCGGAAAACGGTGGCAGCCTGGCATGGGCAGCGTGAATCACTGCACTTACGCGTTGTTATGCATAACCAAATTAAATCTGCGGCCTCCAGCGTGCAATTTTGCAACGTGGCCCGCCCATTTCACCGTGACATGCATACAAGCACGTCGGAGTATGTGCAAGCGGGCCGGGAATTCTGGACAGGCTATTGCACAAACCTCGAGAAGCACTTCAAGATTCCATGCACCTTGATCCAAGCCTCACTGTCACCGCTGTAGGCGACTGAGGCGGCCACTGAACCCTGAGTCGTAGTCTCGGCATAGCCTGTGATTTTTGGAAGCATCACCCATGCGGCTGGCGAACTGCGCCTACTTTCGACGCTCGTCCAAGCTCGCCACAAGTTACGCCGTCCTCCGGGGAATCTCCTGGTTCCTGCAATGGGCTGGAGAAGCTTCCAAACCATGCATGTCTGTGTCGCATGTGGATCCAACTTCCCTGCCTGCATCTGCAGACAGTTGTACAGGGATGCCACCTGTCGAACTGCACTTACGTCAACAATTGCTGCCGGATGGTCTGCCGCGGCATTTGACTGGTCTTTCCACATGTGACAGGAAGCATCGGCCTGAAATACAGACCCCGAGTTCTGCGGATCAGCAATCCTGACAGAGCCAACTGAGTTCGTGTTGTGGCCCTGCTTGCCGAAACTAGCCTCATGTGGACACAACCCTTTACAGCCGTATCCACGCTGCCTTGCTTAGAGACATGAGTGGGGGACCCCCGACTCTTTCTTAAATTCTATAGGATCCTGAAAGGCGGGTGGTTGAAGGGGGGAGGCTACAGTCCGAGGAGTCCAAGCGAGACCTGGGGAGTACTAGCTCATACGTACCCCTCCGGACGCCCCTCCCTGAAGGATTCCATTACTATCGTAATTCCTTCGCATCTGAGTGGACATCACACACACACACGGATAATGTTGCTCTGCCGAGCGAGGTTGGAACTTCAGGTCGTGGTTGGTTTTGGCGACCGGTCAGCGTTGAAATCACAAACACGCAAACATGCAGAAATAGAGGATCGGGAGATTGCAACAGCTGAGCCGCAGGCAGCTCGAGGGTGCGATCCTTGCTTGCCGTAGAGCTTTGATAAACTTATACATCAGTTTCACAGGGGCGCGATCAATTGCCCGAAAGCAGGCGAAGCGGTTTTTTTCTCCTCGGTGGAAGCGTGCACTGCGCTGATGTGCCCATCACAGTTCACGAAGGGCCCAAGTGGCACTTCCTTGGGCCCGGCCGCAGACCTCAAGCGGTTTGGTTTAGTGTTTCGACTCTCGCAACTCGCGAAAGGCAGGATGACGACGCCTGTACTATAAACTATGCTGGTCCAAGCAGGCTTCCACAATCAAAGCACTGGTGACTAGACTGAGTTCTGGAGCTCGCTCGAAGCCCATCTTCAGCAAGCATCGCATACTTTGTGCAGATTCGGCAACAACACAAAAGATACTGAAATTACCAAACAACGACACTAACAAATCATTGTCTCAGGGGCTCCACGCCATACTTTCAGGTGTCTTGCGATCCCGAACCTACTATGACCAGAGAAACCGACGCCAAACGCATAACTGCCATGACTAGTCATCACCCAGCCGGCACCTCTCAGACACCTCAAAACACCACACATGGTCCGACAATGTGACAAATCCAATTAATCGTCGTCAGCAATACAGAAAATGTTGAATAACATCTTGTGGATGTTGCGAGAACTGGCAGCAAGTGTCTGAACTGTCTTTCATCCGTTCGGTCTAAAGAACGAAATGCTGCCTCGCCCCCCAGCGCGAGTGCATGCACACCTGCTGCGGGGCTAATAGGCACTGCAAAGTGGCATGCCTTCAGGCCCAATTCAACAGGGGAAAGAACCCCCGAGAATTGATTTATCACGAGGGCGACCGACCCCGACAGCAGAACCACACAACAAGCTCACAGGCTCACAGGTAGGTGAGGGCTGACAAGTCACGAATCTCTCCTTTCAGCAGCTAACCGCGTGGCGTGGGCCGAGCAACAGAAGCGAGCAGACCCATACACAATGAACGCCTCTCTGTCACAATCTCTCACCCACACACATGCACGCACACTCTCGCACACACACACACACAAGATCAGTCCTAGTTGGTTTGCCTTAGTCGTTTAGGATTTGTTTTCACTGCCAAGTGAATCAACTAACGCGACAAAGAACCCATAGCGGCGTGGCACTAGACAACTTTAAGCGTTTGGAAAGGGCTGTCACGGTTCTTGTCCACAGCGTGCTGTGTCTCCAAACTAGGTCGCGAGACATACACTCAGATACACAGAGTATCACAGAGTAGTCACAATCTGTCTCTTGCTCTCTGCCGCTGCATCCGAAGGGTCCCGCTACCCAAGGCAGCCCCACATGCCATCTTCGCGCTGCAGCTGAGATCCCGATTCTTTTCACAGTGTTCAGCTTTCCATTGATAGTGTAGTAGCATGTTGATTTACAGTCACCATCCACTTTTGATGCACATGCGTTGTGCAAATCTCCTGTCGGGATACCCTTGTGTTTCCAAGGCCTATAGGACCGCGGGTACATCAGCATAGGGCGGACCTCCGTGCAAGTTGCAACCGAAGAGCAGGAAGGTAAATTGAGCAAGGATCGTCCAGCCGGCAAGCTGCAGCCATCGAAGGATGTCGCTGTGAATCCGGCGTGAATGCGTAGAGATATGGAGACGACGCGCTCGGCCCACAAGCCAGGGCGCCATGCCCTGCAGCATAGCATGCCTGAGTTGATCTTCGGATTCATGGAGAGGTAGAAAAGGTAGAAAGGACCTGTGATGACCTGTGCCATGTTCTGATAGGAAGCGGGACGAACCAAAGTCGTCATCCAAGCGGCTCTGCCCCTTGCACGTCGATATCAACGAGATCCCAGGGGTCACCAGATCCCAGAATTGCCTCAGAGACCCGACGTGTGCAGTTGAGGGTTCGGGTGATTTTGCGCACTGACGAAGCACGGGAGTGTGGAAGCGGCCTGCAGCTGCTTGCCAGATTCCACAGGGTCTGTCTCCACCACCCACTTGCACCGACCCTCCTGTCACGTCTGCACAGCGATACTTGAAGAGGCAGCTAGCTGAAGCAGTAGCTTGCGCTTCTGAGTGCGGGCAAAGCTCCGGCAAGTTCCGAGCAATGTGCTCACCAAGTTGAGATCCATCTCCTAGCGACACAATACCGTCTGAGGCCGTATTAGAAGTTGCTGGCCGCTGGCCCACGCTTGCCACACGTGAGTTACCGATTCCCCAGTTACCACCGATCGCGCCACTACTGATGCAAGTGTGCTCATGACTCATCTGTGACTTGTCTGTTCACGATGCTGCTAACCGAAGCGGTCTCCTAGGTCGAATGGCTCCACAAGGAGAAGTTCGCAGCCCACTTCGGGCCCTGCGTGTTGCAAAAAGGCTTTCGCAGCACCTGGCTGGGTCTGGGAAAGAAAACCTAGGAGGCACAAACTGCGAACGCAATCCATAACGTGCAGTTCGTGAGACTATATGGCCCCCCGACTAGAAAGGAGACGCATCCGAAGTCATTCGTGTTCTTGCAGCTACACGCACTCTCCGGGTGCAAAATCTCCTGCACCGGTGTGAGTATTGCAGATTCATCAGCGAATCATGTGGTGACAACTCGGAACCCTCGCACATGAGAGCACGACCAGTTGGCTACTCTACTTGGAGAGTCACCAGTTGATGTTTGCGTTTCAGTCATACATGTGATGTGCCAAAGATTAATCATTAATCTGCATGTAAAACTATTCACTAGTTTCTGTCCGTACATTGAGTCTCTTTGCGTCCTTGTTCGATGTTCGATCTTGTTCGTGTGCTGGTGTGAACCTGCAACTCTGGAACTACAGTACCAAACTGCTGTTCCTGGCAAGTGAGGTTATGAAGCCGGCGAGGCACGCATTGCCCAGATTGCATGAGGGCCGGACCCAATCTCCTTGGGTATAGCAGAACTTTAGCTGGCTTCGATGAGAGAGCATTTAAGCCAAGCATTGACCAGCACACCTTCGACTCGTGTTTGCTTATATGCAGCAGTAAAACTGGATTTTCAACTGTCGAGCATAGAGCATAGAAGTTAAGGTTCGGCCATGCGCAGGTTGCGACCCTCACGCGCTCCACGAAGCGATGTTTCGAGGATGTCCTTCCACTCCTTGAATGCAGAGCAAAGTGCAGCTTCGGTTCCTTGCACTCTCGCTGCGGCACTCACTGGTTACAGGGCAAAGACCTTACACTGCCGAACATATTAAAGACCATCCATCAGCCAACTCAATGAGCCAGTCTTCGAAATATTCTTCGTCAAGGAATGGCCAGAATCGGGTACTGGGCAGCGCCATTCTGCGAAAAATGCAATCCAAAGTCCTCGTGGGCCCAGCAGGCAACATGTCTCGACACTGAAGCTACGTGGCTGCAACGCCCTGCTGCTACTTGCCTATGCTGTGCACCATGTCATCCATGTCTCAGAAGCCCGTCCTAGTCGGTGCCAGAAGGGCAGGCATCTGATCGTCACACACCGTGGTGATGTTCGTCGAAATGCCTCCGTCACTCACATAGAAGCAGTGCTCCATTGTTCAGAACCGCACCTGAACCGAACTTACCGACCGATCTTAAACAGTGAATAGCGATTTTGCAGACGGCAGCCTAAGAAATCCACTGCATGGCCCTCGGGTTCAGGTCCTTCAACAGGAGGAAAGCTGTGGAACACCGCAAGATGATCTGCGGTGCAGGTTTGGTGGAAAATGTTGGGTAAACAGCTGTTCTCAGTCTGCAGCAGCAGCTTCCGCAATGCAATCGCTCTGTCGCGAACAAGAATCAAGGTGTCGGCAACCAGATCCTCAAGAGTACGTATGTCGAATGAGTCTGCACCACCATCTCCCACCAGCGCCAGTAGTGAAGTGGACAATACCCATGCATCTCGCAGAAACTTTCCGAAGACTCCCTTAAAGAGTATCGAAGCACGACGCACATCGTCATATCTTGCTGGGCTTCGGAAGATCAGGGGAACGCGAAGTTGCACAGTAAGATTTCTAACTGTGTCAGTCTGGAGCATCAGTTGGGCTTTCAGTCTTGCAGACTCCTGTGCGAGCTGGCGCTGGATCAAAGCAAACTTGGCAAAGCATCTGCAGCAAAGACTCGTCGTGGCAGGCTTTGCTGTGGCACTGATGTTGTGAAGCTTGAGACTTCTTGGGCTGGGGTACTCGCACATGTACCAAAGAGCTGTGATTGGACTGTTGGGCCGCACCCACCGGAAGCAGTCCAGAGCTCGTAGGATCTCCTCTGGTGTGCATGGCGTTGCTTCCACTGCCCAGCCAAGCGATAGAAGCCCTGCGCTTTGGTGCACAAACGTCCAGAAACTCAGCAGCAACCAGGACATGCTGGCACATGTCTAGCATTGCTCTAACTGCTTCGATTCCTCGCTGTGAGCAAAACATGCGAAAAGGAAGCGAAGAGCTACGTTCATGGCTGCGGCCCTTGAACTGTAGTATAGATTTAAGCGTATCCTCCGGACAGCCGCCTGGCATGGGACCTCCCACAACCTAGCCCGAGCCCGAATAGCAACACCTGCCTGCCCTCCGCTCTATTGTCTGCTCCGCAGATCTCCTCTCATTGTGTGGACTGCACAGGCCTTCTGACTTCGCCACATGCGACTCCAGCTTCCAGCCGATGTTGTCAATCACTGTGTCTCACGCGCGTGGGTATTGGTAGGCTCTGCCGCTCTCTTGAGATGTGTCCGATGACGGCAGGAATTTCCAGGGAAAGACGGTATCAGTATCAGTGAGTCTACTGCCACACTGAACGTAATCGTGCGGTTCCTTTGTCACGGCGCCCAGCACCAAAGGCCAACCATGCTGCCGGAAGGCCATCAGGGCTTCAGCTGCTAAGGCGACAGCTCGTCGCCCAGAATCTGGCAGCCGGGATAAGCAACACGTTCCAAACACTGCCCGCAGCGTTCACCTCACGGCTTCTGGTTGGAGGGGCGTCGGTTGAGAAGCAACGAGTGGCTTGGACCTGAGGGAGTGAGGCGCCGAGAAAAGGGCGGGCTGTCACATGAGAGGTGCTGGCTGCCGATGTGAACGGCAGCCGCGGAGGTTGGGAAGGTGAGCCTGAACTTGCCATAATTCCAAATCAGCACTTCCTCCCGACTTTCAATTCCGTCCAGGGTCTAGAGAATGCGTCGATACGTGCAGCCGCACCGCACTTTTGTCAGCAGCCAAGCAAGCTCATCATCTAGTCAGAGGGCTCACATGGAGCTGTCCGAGTTGTCAGCTTGCCTTGACTGCCCTGGCATGCGGCAGGTCACCGAGGCGCTCGCGGCACCGTCTACATCAACAGCGCCTGACCTGGTACTGCCCGAACGCCACAGCACGCCAATCAAGTAGGTCGCACTCAAGCCACCTGAAGGCAACTCACCCAACACGGGCATTCCCAACCACCGGACGGAGCCTGATACGCCCAGTGAGGCACAAAAAAGAGGCCATGGCAGGAACTCCGAAGTCAAGGGGGTAGAGCTTGTAACGAGCTTTTCCACTTGTGCTGGCTGGTTTTTGCAGGATGCCGACTTGCATCACAACTTCAAGGATTACCCCATGCGGCGGTCCGTGAGTGGCAGCATGGAGCCATGGAAACCTCTTGCTACTTCAGTTCGACTCATTGGATGCTCGCAGCGCTCGCAGCCGCCGGGGCACCAGCCACCACGTTTTTGAAGGTAAGGCCTGGCATCAAGGCCCGTCGTAGCTAGCAAAGCCTCAAAAAGGCAGTATGACTACGATGTACTGTAGCAGTGACTGGAAAGGAGTGCCTGCGATGTCCCCGCAATGAGAAAGCATATGTGTGACGGTCTGCTAGGTGAGCTTTTCGCTTGCTGTTTGGCTTGATCTATTTTGGTGGCTTGAACTGCTTGGATGGCCTCCAAGTTCGTCCGCCTCACAAGCTTGGACGTCGCCAATGGTAAAAGGGCCTTGGGCCGAGTACCACGGCAACAAGCAACCTTTATATGGGAAACCAAAGACACTGCAACGGTGACTGTATTGCACCTTGAGGATTAAGCATCACCTGTCTGTCCACACTGGGCTCGAGGATACGGGAATTGGGAGTTACCGGCGGCTGACCTGCTGTCTCGGCATCTTGCGCGTGCATATCTGCGACAGAGCGTGTGCAGGTGTGCGGGTGCTCCGCGACGGTTCACTTAGGCAGGGCACTGTGTCGAAACCTTCTCTTTTCAGGCAAGGCCTGCCGAGGCTGAGAATTCAGGCGGCGACAGGAACCTTACATGTGGACGACACGATCAGCACCCGCCTCATGCAGGCGCTTGTGCAGCTCCCCGCCTGAAACCACCTGTAAGCTGGGTTTTTGGGCTGGCTTTCGGAGACTCGACTGCAAAGGAGGGCCTCGAAGGGCCCCACATAAAACCTGCAATTGTTGCGACTGCGTCGGGCTGGAAAACAATCGCATATCATCAGCAGATGGCATTTGTTGAGGGCATGGCTTTTGTCCCGTTGCCTGCCATTCTCGCGCAGGTGTCCGGACTCTGTCATCGAATTCTCTCGGATTCCTGCGCCGGCCTTGACCTGCAATACGCCGGAGGAGTAGTCGAACAGCTCACGGGTACCCTGATCCAAGGCAATCTCCTACTTGAGCACTGCAGGCCGGTGTCAGTGGCTTTTAGAGATCCTGTTTCAGGCATTGACTCCAGCCTCCCTTCTGCGGAAATGCACCTACCCGCCATCTGCCTGTAGGCAGTTCATGTTCCTGCCGAGACGGTGCACCACGTGCGGTGGAAATGCCAACGCCCAGCTTCGTGGACACGGGGAAGGCTCTGATCTGATCATCAGCATCGAGAGGATGCATATCAAGCAGATTACAACCCCAGTCCACGAGGGCCGGCACTTGGATCTGTACAGCTTGCACATCCGAGACACTGTCTTTCGGCAAATAATCAAATGCTGCGAGCTAAGCATGGGTTGTCTATCTGTCTATGAATTTAAAAGCAAAGCCAGCATCCCGGCATGAAACGTTCCAAAATTGCACCACCGGCGGATCCTTGCCCGCCGGAGCGCCCAAAAATCAATTCCACGGCGTGGCTGGCTGGGCTGAATGCCTGATCGAATTAACTCCATGCAAATGGGGGCTCGCCCCGCAGCTTGCCGCAGCCAGGGCAGAGCTATTGGCTGCCTCTGTGCCCAACACCACTGCTGAAGGCGCCCCAGTGGCCAGCTGACTAATCGTCGCACTGCTCAGGCTGCGAGAATCAAGTCGAGGAAGGACAGGTGGCCTGCACCTGGGTCGGACGAAGATGCAAGGAAAGGGGCCAGGTAACGGTCACCCCACTCTCTCGCACGAGCAACCTCAACTTTGCTGCAGCAGCTCTGCAAAAATCTACAGCGCCGGCTTCGTGCCCAGGATAGGCAGTGCTCAGCGACGGAGGCCACTCGATAAAACAGGGCGCCCTGACCCAAGACCAAGCTGGATGTGTGCCCGCAGTGGGCTGCAGTTGGAGGACGCGGTTCTTTCCATTCTCTCTCTTCTGTGCTTGGCCAAGACAGGGAGCTGTCTTGCTTTCTTGCAGGCCGGGTACCTACACCTACACCCGGTTCGCGTCTGTCTCGGTGAGTGGCCCCTGTTGGGGGGAAGGAGTCATTGTTCCCCCGTCGAAGCCCTTTGCCCAATGCCAATGACAAACCCCACTCGCCAAAGCAACACCTACAAACTCCCCCTTGGTCGCAGGCTGGTCATCCTAACCTGCAAGAATCTCCCTGTCTTGCTTGCTTGCTCAGAGCAATGCAAAGGTACTGGCGTGGCCCGCACCCCTCCCCCGAAGGGGCTCCCGTCGACAAGAAATCAACAGGACCTTGCTCCAAGAGACACGTACCTTCAGACTTGTACTACGGAATACGACACATATGTAAAGGATGGAGGAGGTATCTTCAAAGCCAAGACAAAACATTGTGGCCAGGTACGCGGCTTCAAGGTGGTGCTGCTGGGTAGCATGGACGCAACTGAGAACACAAGTCGGATAGCCTACAAGAGCGAACATGGTGACCCTTCGCCTCCATCCTAGCGTCCCTCGAACTCTGACAACTGACAACAGCCGAAAACACATTACTTGTAGCTGAAGTACAGCACTCGGATTTCCTGCAGGCAGGCTGCCAATTTGGGCACTCTCAAAGCACATGGTTGTGGACAGGAGTGCTTGTCGTATCGCCTCAGTTATTTCTGACAGCCGGAGCCAACTCCTATCTTGGTTTGAGCTTGACCTATCTGCAGAGCTCCGCTTCTTCCAGTCGGGGCTTGACAAAGTACGTGTGTGCGCACTCTATCAGCTCAGGTGCTCCAGAACGCTTTGAAGCTCGGAATATCCGGCCCACATGGAGACCCCGCTGAAGGGAGCTGTCAGCGGCTCCCGTATCTTCTGCATCTGATCCGCAATCGCCCTGCACAGCGGGTGCCATGGTGAGATCAGACGGTACTCTCGGGTGCAACCATACTGGTAGCATGCCGACAGACCCCGACAATCGAATAACGGCATTTGGAAACTCCTCCTGTGGCGACTAATGAAAGCTTTGAAGTTTTCTGACAGAGAAATATCGAAATCTAGGGATCTCCTGTGGGCGCTCCTAAGACAGAGACGCAGGAGCAGAACAGCCGAAAGGCATCCGCCACCATCTGCTCTCGGCATCCCTACGCCGCGCCTGCCACAGGCCGAGTCTTGGGCTGCATCCTCGGAAACGATGGAACTTGGAGTTTCTCAGCGACACCGTCGTCACGACCCAATGCCCAACAATCCAAGGATCCTCGCAAACATCACAAGGAGCCGGGCACAGCTCCGGCGATTTCGCGTGGAGGAAAGCTTGCAGCTCCTGAGGCATGGCAAACGGGGTCATGCTCTGGGGGAAAAACTGGCTTCGTCCCACAGCCCAGCCTGGGAACTGGCTTCGGACGAGAGCCCAGGAAACCGGTGCGAGCTGTTCAAGAGGCGATTCTTCAGCTTGCGCATTTCCCATGCACATGGCTCAGGAAAGCTAGCATCATGGCAGATTTTGAACGGGAGATTCATGTAAGCCTCCGTCACACCATGCTGTACGGGGCAGGGCCGTGGACATTTCCCCCTTTTGTGCAGGAAGTCTTGCACCTCCGAGTAGCTCGATGCCGGGCTCAAACCGGGATACCAGTCAGCATGTAAATTGGTGCCTTCGCTCAAGATCCATCTGACAGCAACGTCACATTCACCTCCATCCCGTGGAGGAAGACACTGACTACGGGATTGCGGCACATGATCCCGGACAAAAGCATATAGTCTGTACGCACGGCCCTCTTCCAACATCTCTGTTGGAACCAAGGCAGTCAATCTGTCACGTGGGCTGGATCCTTGACAAA